GATGAAAGCAATGAATTCTGTGTTATACATGTAATTTATTAAAGTAAAAACTAGCATTACAACAAACCATATATTTAATTTTTGCTTCAGGACACAAACTTTATAGTACTTTCATAATTCTTATCATCAAAACACAGAAGTATTTGAATAACATGATAAAGATGCAACTTTCATAAAAAGTACTCATGCATTGCAATGCCATGTTAATTTCATAAATTTTACTGAATTATTGATTTAAAGCTCTTCAATAAATATAACATAATTTGTAAGCAAAGCAATGCAATATATATCCAAAAATATGCAATGTCTGTTTTGGCAAAAACAAACAATCAATTGGAAATGCATTCTTCCTCTGGGACTCGTTGAGCACATTTCTTCTTATGAAGTATTATATACAAAGACACAATAGTTTGTCTCCAATATCCAAAATTCTACATCTTTTTGTGTCATCTTTATGATTTTATCTCATCTTGTATAATGCATTCATAATGATTCCACTGCTTTTTTTAACTCTTTGGAAACTGCAATGTTATCAAAATGCTCAAATATATCTTTTATGTAAATAAGATGGCTTTTTATGCATAAATGATTATATTAAGAAATGTTGTTTGTCATTTAATGGTCATGGTTACGTAGTTAAGTGAGTATTAAGTTTGTAAAAACAAATTAGAAACAAATAAGATTGTGAAAAACGGTTTTACTTTTTCAAATTATTGTATTTTAACAACGGTAGATTTAATTTACATATTAGCTGCTCTGTTACTCTCTTCTGCAGAGGTTTTTGAAGTAAACTGTCATTTCTGATCATTGCAACGTTATCATCAACTAATCTGCTAACGTTTAAGTGCTTCATTTTTACTGGCAACTATGGGATGTTGCATTTGCATTTGGGTTTGTTACTTAATTAAGCAGGGGGGGCTAATAATATTCATATATGCACATACTTCTGTATTGTTTTGTATTGAAATCAATCATTATTACGAATTGTACAATATTAATATATAAATATAGCGCCCTTATATATCAAGCTTCGGCCTCCCTTGTATTGAAAATACTTGTATCTTCTGAACTACAAACTTCTGTTTTGTTCGTTGATGCTCTATTTCATTATGTCTCTATTGAATACAGTACCTGGTATGCTTCATTTAATGTTTGCTGTTTGTTTTATTCACATAATCAGTTGGACAAAGTTTTATGCCTAGGCAATATTTTTTATTGGTCTCTGCCCAAAGATAAATCTATTTCCATTGGTGCACCCCAGTACAGATGATGTGATATGATTATCACAGTATTTACAACTCCCATTTCTATTATGCTAATTGCCCATAACATAATATTTACAATAATTAGGCACTTTGAAATGCACGAAGGTTGATATAATTTTCAAAGTCTACTATTCCTGCAGTAGGTAATACAGGTTGGTGATGGTTAATGAAAATTTCGCAGCAGCTGCCTATCCACGTGGATTGGGCATGTCATGAAACTTCAAGTATGAGAGTAAAAAATTCTGAAGATTCCATTTCATAATATATTCCATAAAAGTATTGAAATGGCGTGTTTAATATGCAAGAAAACATTTTGTTTGAACATTATAGCTGAAATTTTAAAACATAGTAAATGTCAACCACCAATTTTCATCGTCTTGTTTATTAGCCTGCAATAAAAAAGGGCAGATTAATTCCGATATTTGTTTAAAATATTTGATACAAAGGGTGGAGGAAAAATCACAAACAATTTGTGTAAATCTTAGTGGATTATGCGACTTATTGGTCTGTTTACTATACACAGTTCATGGAAGACTGCGAATGTTCTCGAATGTTCTCTAGCTTATCTATACTGTCGAGATTAGAGTGCAACCTCGCTGGCGCTCGTTTGATATGAATAATATCCATATTTCATGTGGATTGTTCCAAAAGCGAATGTTCGACGAAATTTGAGCACCATTGGTTGCACTTCCTTGATTTGGGTGAAGAATAATTGTTGCCTGCTGCGATTTTTTTATGAGTATTTTTCGGCAATATTTTTTATTCCATAAACTCTAACTACATTTTCGATCTAAAATAAGTGTTGTCAAATGAAATTTAAAACTATAAAAGGAGGTACGTGTGTACATGTGGATAACGTGCTAAATGTGTTGTCACAAAATGAACATATTTCAAAAAATAATACATATTTAAGTAATTTACATCAAACTTTAAAAACTGCTTAAGTTTTCAAAAATGTGCTTCATGCTCACTGTTTGCTGTAGCACGCATCATACACTTGCCGAAAGTCTACACTTTGCTTGTCACGTGAAAGGTCGCGTGCTCAAATCATAGAAACTCAGGTCCTATGTCACTCGACCGATAAATCTAAAAGCACATGACTTGTAATGATTTTACATGGAAGCGTCATTGGTATTTCTATTTTTGGAGAAACGGTAGTGTACTTTTGTTATTTTTTTAATAACATTTTGAAAATACTAAATTTTTGACGATTTTCGCACATTGCTAGGAAGTGTGAGTATATCATTGTGTACAATGTATTTTCTGCTCATTTCTGAAACGTATCATATAGCATGTCTGATTTTTAATGTCATTCAACATCATTTAAATCAGGGGCGGATCTAGGGTATGTCAAATCAGTCACGCGACTAATGTTTATAGTTCAGAAATTACTTATCAAACTTAACGATTAAATTTTTTTGTGATCATTGAATTTCTGATGTATAATCGTTTGAATTTAATTGTCAAAATTCTGTTTTTTATCTGAAATCTTACGTAAATATCACGTTAGCAAACAGATCAGTGGATTTAAACACATCTGGAATTATATTAACTGACCGATAAGCGTGGTGGCTCGACTGGTTCGACTGATAACGGAGTTCAAGAACGGCTAATTAAAGCCATTCCATTGGTCAATAGCCAGATCAGTGGACGATCTGGAATAATAACGATCGATAAGAGGAGTGGCCGGACCGATAACGGTGTCTAATTGCTCTCATGTAATTGGTTCGTTTAAGGTTTTATCTTACTGTGTGATTGGTTTGACCGATTTCGACTGATAGCCAGCTGAGGTAACATTGTCATGCTTACTGTCTGAATTAGTGTTGCCAAATCGTGAACACTGTTCACAGATTTGTGAACTTTTTACTCTCTTCATGAACATTTCATGAATGTTAAAAGTTTGTAAACTTTTTGTGAACTTTTCTAAATATTACGTATTTTTGTATTTTCATCATTTTCATAAAGAATGTATAGATAAATCATAGTTCAATGAAAAAAAAATCTTCATAGCTCGACAGTTCTTTCAAAACAACGACGATTTTAAGATAATCCGATGTTTTTCGAATATTTCCGAGGGTTGTCGAAAACTTCCGAGGTTTTCCGAAAATGTCCGAGTTAATCCGTTAACTTCCGATCTTAAAAATTAGATGTAATATGAACTTTTTGCAATTTTTGTGAACTTTTGACGCAAGCGAGCATGAATTTTTAAAATTTCATCTGGCAACACTGATCTAAATTGTATGTTTGATCGTTTTATAGTAATTTGCTAAAGCATGATAGAAACTATAATCAGCGCCACCGCAGAAATTTGGGAAAATCTTTTACAAATTCATATATTGACATGAATGCTGCTGTCCAGATTGCGATTTTTTTCAAGAGGGTGAAAAATTTATGAATGAATTGTAAATGTTTGGGCAAAGACGCGAGAGACATTTCAGTCATCGATGTTCAAAAGCAAGCCATCATTTTGTTAGAGATTTCGCAGCAGAAACTTACATCCAAAATCGTAAGTAAAGGACAACTGAAGTGTATGCATGAATGTAAAATATCAAAGTCAATTTATGCGAGTGTGTGATGCGATTTATGTCAATATGGCGTATGGTAAGCAGATTGATGCTTCTAAAATGGTTGTTGCCGAGGACTTTTAGCTATGATTTCTTTAGTGCTTGGGGAATCTTGGCCGTTATATGGCCAAGTATTTCAATGGAAAAAATCTGTAGCTATAAGGTGCCATGTTATTATATACCATATTATAAACAAATGTTTTGGGCTTTTCAGTTTATGATCATTGATCATTCAATCATTGGACAATTATACTATACATTGTTTAAGATTTGAGAAAACTAATATTGATTACATGATAAACTGTTTACTATAACCTGTGATTATGACTCTTTCAGATCCATGAAGCTTTTTATTTTGACAATTTGACTGGGATAGTATTAAACCTGAGCTATTTCACATACATGAAATGTTGTGCCATGTCACATATTGTCCCCTTTTCTAACTGAACACCTCATGTAGAAATGTCAAGGTGTGTTGATCTACGGCTCATATTAGATTGTTTGCCATAATTCCTAAGGGCTATTGATGTATGAAAAACATTTTCTATAAAGTAAAGATGTGTTCCTAGGTATGCAGATAAGCCTTGAAATTTGGCAAAATAGCCAAGTAGTTTTCATGATCACTAGGTAATTTTTCGGATGATCATTATAATTTTTAAACTAACTTGTTTTAGATTTACATTTTAAGTAGTTTTGATTCTATGAAAAGATATTTATCATAGCCAGTAAGCTTGACACATGAACCAATTTTAACATTCATGTAATTACATGATTAAAGACATGCTGGTTACATTCTGTTTTTTTTGGCAAGTACAATGCTAATGGTAATTGCTATATAGCACAACTTGCATGGACTTACAGAAGATAATAGTCTACTGAAAGGCTTCATAAACTTTGATGGCTGTCGGGATTTGTTTGCCCAACACAGAAAATCACTCACACAGTTTCGTTTTAACAATATTTATTGTCCCTCTCGCTTGAAACAATTACAAATGTGCTATCAACAGCTCTAACATGCTGTCCCTCTTTTTTTCTCTACAAGTGTTGTTGTTGTCTCTACCGGTACGAACTGGCCCTTCCCGACTTTGGTCTCGCGCGACCCACGCGTTAACAAAACTGTTTATACTTTCCGACACCCTCCCCCCATTTGTCTCGCCAGTGACAAATGTCACTAACTACTATCCTCAAGGTTTGAGACTTCCTGCATCCTCTCTCTTGCCACTACTGCTGCGTTTCTTCTAGGCCGGAATTCTTTCGCGTCTGGATCCAGGGTATTGTTTTCTGTGGCTACTTTTGCATCTTCTACTCTATGTAGTTCTAATGGGAATAGATGCTGTGGTGCTCGGTCAATATGCGTTTTCCGTGTTTTAATCTTTGCTCCTCGAACAACTCCATCCCTTCCCTCATACAGTTCCTCTACGATACCTACACTCCATTTTCCTCGATTTCTTTCTTCTCCTTTTATTAGCACTACGTCACCCACTTCTGGAGATTTTCCCATTTTTCCATGTTTCAGGTTATGTCTCTCTCTTAATGATCTTAGATACTCCCCCGTCCACATCTTCCATATGGCTTTCTTACATCGCTGAATATGTTTTGCTCTTTTCCTTAATTCCTCTTCTTCACTTGTTTCATCATTTTCAATCACTGAGACGGACGGTTGGCCAGTTATCATGGCATTTGGTGTAAGAATTGGCAATTCGTGGTCGTCTTCCACATACGCTAGAGGTCTATTGTTTAGACATATCTCCACATCAAGGATTACCCCTTCCAATTCTTTCCATGTGAGACTTGATCGACCAACTACCTTATAAAATGCTTGTTTCACCAATCCTATCAGTCTTTCATACTGTCCACCCCACCAAGGGGCCTTGCTTAGGTTGAATTGCCACTTGATATTGTTCTTAGCAAGATAGTCATGAACTTGTTCATCTCTTGAGATTTTCCGAACACGTTTGGCTGCGGCCACAAAGGTCTTGGCATTATCTGAGTACACTTTATCTGGCTTGCCACGTCTAGCAACTAACTTCCTGAAGCTATGCACGAATTCTTCTGTTGACATATCTGGTAGCATCTCCAAGTGAACCGCTCTTGTTAAGCTGCATCCCACGAGGAGTAGGTACGCTTTTCCTTCTTTACCTGCTCGTTTCTTATAGATGAACGGACCTGCGTAATCCACACCTATGACTTGGAATGGCCGTGATCCTTCTGTGCGGTCCTTTGGGAGGTTGCCAGTGGGTGGTTTGGCGAATGCACTCGCTTGGAACCTCTTGCAACCGTTGCATCTGCTTCTGACCTTTTTTGTGAGTTGTCGAAGACGTGGTATCCAGTAATTTTCCCTCACCGCAGTCATTGTCAGACTGACTCCCCCATGGAGAGTGCGTAAATGTTCGTGCATGACCAACTTCTTTGCTAATTCGGACTCTGGTGGAATGTAGATCGGGCATTCTCCTTGCATCCTTCCGCGACATTCCAGCACTCCTTCCTCATTTTTCTTAAGGTTTAAGCGTTGAGTGTCTTCTCTCATCTGATCCGAGTTTTCAAAGCGCAGCTGTTCTCTTTTCAGCCACCAGAGAACTTGTGTTTGTAGCTCGTTAGTCGTGAGTGGACCCCGTCGACGTTGCTGTTTTTTCTTGAGGTTATACACGAACCTGAACACCCATGCTGTTATTCTCATGGTTTTCCAATAGGGGTATTTCGCCAAGATTGCTGAAAACCTGTCCTCCTCTAGTTGAACTGCAGGCATGAAGACTTCTTTGCATTTCTTTACTTCCGCTTCCGTCTCAACTGTAGCTTCTATGGTTACTTCCCTTGGCCATTTTTCAGGGTTGGAAAGCCATTTTGGTCCTTCAAGCCATTTTTCAGACAACTGATCTCCGTTGCAGCATCGGCTTCCAATATCGGCGGGATTATCTTTTGTTCCCACGTGCTTCCATGAAATGTAATTCTTTTCTCTAATTACCTTTACCCGATTTGCTTGTAATTTCCACTTCCATTTATCCAGTATAAGGCAACCATGCTGTCAAGCCATCCAACACAATGCCTTACAGGCAACCCTTCAAGAACGGATCGCACGTTGTCCATCAGCCTTGCTGCCATTTGAGCAGAGACTAACTCAAGTCTTGGAATGGTCAACCCTTTCTTTGCCAATCTTGATTTAGCTGTTATGAGTCCTTGACCGATACCCTTGCCTTGTAGGATAACTGCATACACGGCTGCTGACGTACCTTGGCCACTAGCATCTCCAAATGCGTGCAAATCTATGGCTTGTATCCTTTCTCTGTGTGTGACTAAACTCCTGGGCACTTCAATTATACTTGGTACTCTAGTACACCAGTTGCGCCAACGGTGCATCAGGTTATGAGAAAGTTGTTCGTCCCAGGGTAAATTAGCTTCACAGATGTCCCTATAGATCATCTTCCCAAGTACACTAATTGGCGAAACTAAACCGAGAGGATCAAAGATTGAAGCAATCTCGCTAAGTACTATCCGTTTTGTTACGTTTTCTTCGTTGAATTTTTCGGGGAAATGGACACCGATTGTATCTTTGCTTTTGTTCCAAGGCATGCCCAATAGTTTTGTCTCATTTTCTCTAACGCCCAGTCGTTGGTTAGCGTAACTTTGATCGACCGCTGCGTCACTGACCACTGGCTCGCTCGCTTCCAGTTCTTTAAGATTTGAGTGCCATTTGTGCAGAGTGAATTTAGCTCTATCAAAGATTTTGATTGCGGTTTCTTTCAACTGTTGTACTTCCTCCACAATGCACCCTCCCGTAAGCAGGTCATCAACGTACAAGCTATCTCTTATCTCAGCTACTTCTTTTGGAAACTCCTGTTCTTGACTGTTGAGATGTTGATTGAGTGTCCCAGCTAAAAGAAACGGTGATTGATTTAATCCAAACAGAGCTCGCGTAAATCGGTAAACTTCGACTTGCTTGGGGTCTTCTTTGCTCAACCAATGAAACCGTAAGACATCTCGGTCTTTTTGCTTTATCCTGATCTGTAAGAACGCTTGCTTTAAATCCGCTGAAAGTGCTACAGGCTTGAACCGATTGCTCACAAGAACATTCCACAAGAGATTCTGTAATATCGGCCCTGTTTCCAAACAGTCGTTCAATGATGGTGAGTCTTCCCTTTCCTTGGCTGAGGCATCATAAACCACGCGAACTTTAGTACTTTCTGCTGATTCTCTGACTACCGGTTTGTGTGGGAGGTAGAATTCACGTCCCTTTGCTTCATGTGTCACCTTCTCAATGATTCCTTGTTCTTCCTGTTCTTTCATTATCTGCTGGTACTGTTCAAAGAGTCTTGGCTTTTTCTCAAGCCTTTTGACTAATTTGCCAAGCCTCGCAAGGCTCCCTGCCTTATTACTAGGTAGACTGCTGGTGGTTGGCTTGTACAAAAGCCCTGTCTCATACCATCCTTCTGGACTTTGGATTAACTGATCTTTAAAATCCTGGTAGATTGTTTCATCTCCATTTGACTGATCTTCCAAACCAAGCACGTCTAGGTCGCATAATTTCCTGTAATCTTCCATAGAAGACCTTGCAAACAATGATTTCGTGAGATCCTCCTCAGTTCCTGGTGATAACAATGTCCAACCAAATTTAGTGAGTTCAGCTACTGGTTCACCAGGTTCACCAATGCAGGGCTCCGTAGCAGTTTTGATCTTAGCATAATCACTCGCACCCAAAATTAAATGGACAGGAAGTTGAGGTTTTGCATCAGTATCATCCATTTTGACCTTCTTGAGATGATCAAACTTACTTAAAACTTCTTCATATTTAGGATTGTCAACGAGGAGTAAGTTATTCGGTCGACCTTTGTTACTTCAGTTTTGAGCTTGTGTTTCGTCTAAGTCACTGATTGTTACCGTGTACCTCAATTATACGGCTTGTAGACTGCATCATCATTTCTATCCTTTTGAACACCTTCCGCACCGGTCGCTTATTCAATCTCTCCACCAGCGCTCCTGAAGCGTCGAGCTCCCAGCCCTGTGTCTAGAAGTGCTCTGCAAATAATTCCGTCAACTTTGACCAGAACGATTGGATATATCACCTTGTTCTCCCCCTTTGCTACCAGCATTTGTTCGGTTTGTGGTTTAACGCCTTCTTGCTCATTTGGTCTTTTATCGCAGATGGATGAGTGATGCCTTCTTTTGCAATGTTGGCATGTTTGTTGGCTACGACATTCAGACGCCTTGTGTCGTGGACCCGTACAGTTGAAGCACAGTTTCTTTTCTCCAAGAATTCTTCTACGATCACTAACACTGACCACCTTTTTACACTCAGCAGATCGATGACTAGTATCATTGCAATATACACACCCCTTTATTCTCGACGAACTTGAAAGCTCCTTGATTTGCTATGCCTGTCCTGAGAGCCATCATCTTGTTTGACTGGATTTCTCACCGTCCACTTTCTTAGCGCTTCGATGAACTCCGGAAACCTCCATTCTTGCCAGTCGTCATCGGTTCTCACAAGATCGCTTCGAATTCCTTCTAGTTTGTCAATTGTCATTCTGACATAGCCTGATACTTCCTTGAGTTTCCCAAGTGTCTCGAGAGATTGTACACTTGTTAGTAGTGTTTCATAAAATGCATGGATTTTACCAGGCTTAGTTCCTTGAATGTTGGGCAGGTTGATGATGTTTTGAACATAAGCGTTGATGATTTCGCTGGTTTTGCCGTATTTAGTCGTCAAAATGTTCTTAGCTCGTTCATATCCCTCTGATGTGAATGGTAATCCATCAATACATGACCGCACTTTTGGTTCGACAAGCTCCTTTAAGTATGAAAATTTGGTTATACTAGAGACATCCGAATTGTCAATTTCAGCATTAAACTGCCCCAAAATCTAAGCCAGTCCGTATGTTGTCCGGTAAACTTGGTAATAACCAGTTTCGGTAATTTTGTCGTCAATTTGGTGGCGCCATTTTTTCCGCTTGTGGACTTTTCTCGATTTTCAGACAAGGCCTTCTCGTGCTTCATGCGACGCTCAAATTTAGTTTGTTCTAGTTTCAAATCTTCTTCGCCCTTAACCCGATCTTGTTCGTGTTTCAACTCCCGTATAGCGTTCTCGAATTCTGCCAGTTTCCCTTCAATTTTCTCCGTCCAGTCTCGTACATTGTCTGCGTTTTCGCCGCTCTCAAAGTTTAATTCCTGAATCTGCTCTTTTAAAGCGTGTACTTCTTCGGTTTTCCTTTGTAAAGTCTTCCTCTGTCTCTCCATTCCTGCCAAGTCATTTTTCCCCAAGATATTTACTGTTTTCTCGTTTGTGAACTTCAGGAATTGGATTTTCGTCTCGATCGCTTTTACTAGTTTATCCATGTTAATCTCGTCCCATCGGGGGTGCCACTTGTCGGGATTTGTTTGCCCAACACAGAAAATCACTCACACAGTTTCGTTTTAACAATATTTATTGTCCCTCTCGCTTGAAACAATTACAAATGTGCTATCAACAGCTCTAACATGCTGTCCCTCTTTTTTTCTCTACAAGTGTTGTTGTTGTCTCTACCGGTACGAACCGGCCCTTCCCGACTTTGGTCTCGCGCGACCCACGCGTTAACAAAACTGTTTATACTTTCCGACAATGGCATTAAGCTGTCCTTAATTGCAAAATTTCCTCTCTGATACTTATTGTTTAATCTTTGGTAGAAAAAAATTTTGAATTTTTTCTCAAAAGGTGAATTTTCTGCCACTGTAAGTGGAAATGGGTTAAGGGTTCAATAAATATGCACGGTTTGAAGTCTGAGCTTTTTTACATTTATGAACTGTCCCTTGTAGTACCTCAATTCTAACTTAACTCATTACATAGAGGTGTGAATGGGGGCTACTAGGGGGGTCTATGCCTGACAATTTGGTAGAAATTTTTAAAGACTATCTCTGTTTTGAAATAGCATTGTTGTAAAGTAAATTTTATGCTACTAAGCATGCTAATGAGCCTTAACAGTTGGCAAAACATTCAAGTATTGTTCACTTCAAGTTTCTTTTTTTTTAGAAAAAACAATGTCCACATAAAGCATTTTGTATTGCTCTAAAATGCTGAAAATGGCTTTGAAATCTAAAATTTCTCACTCTTCCTTGCATTGGTTACTCGTTGTACGAATTGTCCTCTAAGTATTAATACATAAAGGAATTGAGAAAAAAGCAATTATGATTTGTATTCTGTGGAGCACACTTCAAAAATATTTTCCACTAGGCTACCTATGCTATAAGTAACAGGATGACACAATGACATCCAAAAATGTCTTATCGAAACCAAAGCACCACCTGTCCCCCCATAAAATCATTCTTCATCCATCCCTGTCTTGAAGTGAATGCACTAAATTTATCCCCAGTTTCACATTTCACATTTTGTGTATTTTTTTAAGGTGCAAAGAAAGATTGATTCCTTCTGTGTTCTAACTCCATCACTAAACTTGTAAGATACAGGGCCAGGACTCAAGTGGGTAAGTTACCTTTTCTATTCTATGCATACTGTTAAGCCAAGTTAATCTTGCAATAGAAGGGATAAAACATCACCCAGATTGTAAAAAATTGAATGCATGATTAGGTACCATACCACTATCATACATAAGTCTACATACGTAAAATATGCTGGCATTGGCTAGATTTGTGAGCAACAAAATTTTATTCCTGACCATGGTATCAGGGTGTCTGTACAGAGAACATGTTCATTTGAAATGTGGGTGTCCATCCATTATAGGAAAAACACCTACACTTTTAGCTTCTTGCTTTAAAGTTAATGATGTTTGATTGCCATGTATTTACAGGCATCATGGTGAAAACCATTACATAATTTATTTATTTCAAGTGTTCATCCTTAAAATGAACATTAATGCCACAGAATATTTACATACAGGTCATTTCTAGTGATTTTTGTGATTTGCATTTGTCAAGGGAAATTTTCTTTGCGGAGTGTCAATGAATCTTGTACAGTGTTAACATAAAAGTCACTCAAAGTTAAATTGAGATAATTGAATGTAACTATAGCAGAAGATAGTCAGTATTAATCAGTCAACCAACAATCAAATAAACAATAACTTTCCATTTAAACTGTGACCAAAGGTAGGGGGATGGGTGGCTAAGGAGGTTGCAGCCCCTGAAATGATTAAGATGGAGGTGCCAAGACCCCCCTCCCATTATTCAATTATTCATTGTTACAAAGAGCTTTTCAATGTTTTTTTCTGAAATAAGTTCCTGTTCGATAATGGAAAACAATTGACATATAAATGGCCTCTCATACTGTCTGTCTCTCTCATACAGCATGACCTAATGAAGCCGAAACTTTGCTTAATAGTCCGAATGCCAAGCGCCTGCTACGACGTTTATAGTTATTTGCTACACCGCTCTATACAAAACGTCTTCCGCTGTCACTGTCTGTTATAGCAAAAGCTCTTATTGTTGGTATAACAGCGTTAAGTAAGTAGAAATGAAGGAAAAAGCACAAAAAAATCAAGGCATCTAAACATATTTCAAAATCCTGATCACGTAAGGTGCATTTGCTCAAAAGTCTTTCTTATTTTTCAATAAACTGCAGGTGTTTTTCTCTTTTCTTCGGTATTTAAAGAAACGTGGTTTTTGTGTTTATTTTTCGGTATGCTAGTTACGTGTTTTAAACTTTTTTTCTTTGAAAACAGATTTTGACTTTGTTAACGATGCGTGGAATCAAGATCCGTGATGAAGATCGAGAAAAAATCCCAGCGAAGTACATTTGTACTTACTGTCATCACCTTCTAATCAATCCAATGCAGACCATGTGTGGACATTTGTTTTGTAAATCTTGTATGGACATTATTCTTGGGTAACGTCATTTTTTCTGTAACAAATCATCTATACAAAGTTATAGTAGTTGTCATACATGCTCTTTCAATAGACAACCTATTATGCATCCCAATATCGTATCACATATCCCAAAGTATTCATGCGTATCATCTTGTTCAATTAAGTCGGTGCCTAGCTGTTAGGGCGTCAAAATTGTTTATTAGTTCTCTTGATACGACTTCGGTTAAAAACTGTTGCGTAGGAGACTAGGGAGAGCTCATCATAGTTCATCATATTTTTATAATCCTAAATAACAACTGCTTTCCTAGGAACGTAATTTATCAGAACATGCATTTAGAAATATTGACCCCCCCCCCCTATTTAACTGTCTAACTGGCTACGCCATCCACTCTTCGAAATTGATCATTCTTGTTAGTAGTTTTTGCCTTTTTTTAATCTGTAGAAATCCTGATCCAAAATGTCCTGAAGATAAAGAAAATTTGACCAAGGAAAACGTAGGTGGAAATATTGCAAAGATTTGACAGAAACTTCAATTACAGTCTTGTTGCTATCGATCATTAGCGTAGCCATCCCGCCAGTTTAGTCCTGCTTTGTAAATTTTAGTACATAATATTTTCCATATTACAGGGTAGGTCAGTTAATGAGCAAAGAAAAATTAGCATAGCACAACTAAATAAACATGTTGGCTTAACAACTATAATTATAATTACTCTTTGAGTTCTAAAAAATAATACAACGATTTACGTATATTGTCGTGTCTTGTGACATAGAAAATCCTTTTGCAACTTGGGTTGTCAAAGCTACGTGCAAACGTTCTCAATATGTTGACTCAACATGCGCTAAACATTGTTTTTTGTTTGATGAGTGATGCTAAACGATGTGTGCAAACGTTCTCAACATGTTGAGTCTTGAAATGTTATCGCCTAGGATCATGAGATAAAATATTCCACCATGCCTAGCAACAGCGTATATACAGGTACATAAACGGTTCAGTGACCAGGTAAATAACAACAATATAAGCTGCACAGGTAGTGTTCATGCTTTCGCTCAACATGTTGAGTGTGCTGTTTTAAAAACCAGAAGTTTCATTGCACTATAAACAAAGTTGAGGTGCGGTTTGGTGACCATGGAATAAAGCAAATGTTGAGTGCTGTTGAGTGGAAATTTTGAGCAAGTTTAAACTTCACTCAACAACGCTCAACCCCGCTTAATAGCTACTACTCAACTCTCCTAAACACGGTGTTGAATATGTTGAGCTCGTTGTTGAGTTTACATGTTGAGAGCCTTTGCACTTAGCGTTAGTGCGTCGGTGAATTCTACTTCAAAAAAGTTTGCCAACAGTTCTTGTAAGAAATTTACGTTACTGTTTCATTTAACGTCTAGTGCAAACTTGCATTTTAGTGAAGTGAAGTGACTCTGTCTTTTGCTACATTTAATCTTGTTTCATAAAAGATCAATTTCCATGGATCCATCTAGGTTTTCCCGGATGCTTTTACGAAGCGTGAGTTAAAAAAGATTCAATTACACTGTCCATCTGAAGAGTGTAAATGGTTTGGTACACACGAAGAATTGGAGGTGAGTTGGGCACTGAAATTAATCAAAAAATTGTGGCATTTTCACTTATAAAGGGATACACCGAATCTAAGGGATTAGGTACAACATCTTCCACAATTTCGTGCTCGTCTACACCTTTCGTAACGCTTAACAGAGCACGCAATATTGACTACGTTTCTTCTTGCTTATTAATTAATGTTTCCAGTTTGGTGAGAACTGATCTTTGGAAGCCTACAAGATAGATAAGAAAATAATAGAATAACTTACGTATAACCTACGTAATATCTTAAAAATATAAAACCTTACAACATGCTAACAAGAAAATTCAAATAAAAATCGCATCAAATTGCTAATTGAATACGCGTACATAATAACAACGCTATTCAAAAACTATATACTGTAGAGAAGGTACCATTAACGTTTGGTTGAGAACGTCTTCCTGCAGGTGTTTTGTTCATAAAACTTGTCGAAGGCGTTTCGTGCGATGAAAGGTCATGCGAATCTGCAAAGCAATCACGTGACACAATTAGTTGCGAAGAAAAAAAAACATTTCAAACGACACGAAATGAACGTAAATGAAAACGTAACAACAAAATATGCAATAATGAATTGTAAGAAAAGCTTGCCTAAGACACCACTGTTTCGTTGAGAATGTCTTTCTCTTGTTGTGCCAGTTGTAGGAATTCCTTGTGAAGAGACGTTGCTTGTATCTTCAGAGAAGACACGTACTGGGTTTAAAATATATCTTTATTGAACGCACGAACGCCATTTAAATTAAGGCACTACAAGTTTCAAAAATCAGAAACAGAAAGGTGACTAAAATAAAAATCTCGTTTTATTTAGTAGTTTGATAGCAAACGCTGAGAATTAGATTTGAACGAATGTATTTTGTTTAAATCATAGTGAACAAAACTGCAATTTTAACTATAACTAACATTTTTTCAACTAATTACAACGACATTTTAAAGGACCAACGCCTACAGCCCCTGTAGAACATACATAAGCCCTATAATGCAACGATGGACGTAGAAAAACAGTAAATGTACAATACGAATGTTAAATCATATCTTGATTTAATTTAACGAATGTTAAAGTTATTTAAAAGAATCAATCAAAATTATTTCAACATTTTAGACGACATATTATATGAAAGTTGATGATTAGTCAGTTCTGATGACAGAAAACTTACCACTACACTGAGATGGTGTCCTTCTAGTAGATGGAGAAGTTATTGCATAATCCTTTGTGTTTAGGATTCCTGGCGCTAGTTCACCGTCATATAAATCTAGATCAACATTATATTAAGATCAAATAAGAAATTTTATACATGCATGTTTCTGTCAAAAAATTGTCCACTTGTACAAGGATTATATTAGCGCTTATACCTTTTTCTGCAAGGGAGATCAGCTCGCTGTACGCCTGCAAATCTAAAAAGCAAAATCACTCATTACATTTAAAGGCAACGTAACAATGTGTGAAAAACTGCAATCCTTTGAATAAAGCAATGGCCTATTGCATTGCAACTACAGTACTTACTTCTAGAAATTGTTGATAAGATTTCATTGACGCATGTAGTTATATGAAAATTGTTTTACCATATCAACAGGCAAGTGACAGAAAGGGCTAACAAAGCGATGATGTTCTTCTTGTATCTGCTTTCTAAAAGAAATATTAGTGCACAAGTCTATATTATTATTTTGAGAGTAAGTCACTCGACCAAGCCACTTCCCTTTTTGTGTACACTTGTCATAACCAAAATAACCAGTACAAAATTTTGTACCTTTAACAAGTGCTCTTGCAGGAGCATCACAAACAATTCCCCTTACTGTAACAGTCAGAACGTTTTCCCCATCTTGGACTCCCCTCTCTAAAATACCCTTCAAATCTTCTATAAACTCATCCAAAAACTCCAAGTCTCTTGGCTTGTAGTCACCACATCTTAGGACAATAGGAAACACTACAACAGGTTTTATATTCAAGATGGCACACAACACTGGCCATATATTTTTTGCAGAACTTTTAAACAAAGGAAGCCCATCAACATTTAAAGAGATTTCAAGATGATTAATGTTCTTAACTGTTTCACAAGGATGCTTGTGATAGTGCTTTAACAATTGTTCACCAAAAGAAAAGTACACAAAATCCATGCCAGATTTTTTCTGAATGGGAATACATCTTGATGTATGCAACAAAGTGCGAGCACAAAGAGGCAAATTTGGATGACCATTATCCTTAAGAAGAGCAAGCAAACCATCAACAGTATTTTGCTTAATTGAGTACTCATTCAACCAATAAACTAACCCATCTTGAAAGGAAACATTTAAACTAACATCTTCAAAATCAGAAGAAACAGAAAAATACCTTTCCCCAATGACTGCATTCACATGCACTAAAAATCAGCTTTTCCATGGCAAAAAGAAACATCCAAAATATCAACTTCACCAGAAACAGCACGGTCATTTTCCCCAATATCACAATCATTAAGAGCAACTTTTAAAAAGAAAGAACTTTGTTGAGGACTGGCAATGGTTCAAGTTGATTTTTTGTAAAGGTTGTGAATGTTCACGGTCATTATAAAAAACATTATTGAACAGATTACTACAGCCATCATCATTAGGCATTGCATCACTGCATCTTAAAGCTGTATTAGCAGCAATCCAGTTTTTTCTGTGTTGCACCCGGTTATGTTTCATTATTATATGAACTAAAATAAATAATAAAATGTAACTTTCACTCTATTTATTTTTGGTTAATTTAAACATATCCTAATGTTATAACCCATTCCCCCTAAGTGCTGGTGATCACAACATTTAGCAAAATGTTTTAATCAAAAAATGATGAGTCTCATTCACAGGTTATGGTAACTTATATGTCTGCTCAACTATTTGTAACTTATTCTCTTCTTTACATACATGCATCATACCTAATTTATACATAACCCTAAAATTTTAAGTATAACATTATAGTTTACTTGCTAACAACAGCAAATGGAAAATGTTCTAAGCAACTAAATAAAAGTAATTTAACTGACATTGCAAGCTTACTAAAGAAATAGGCTAAGTTAATAAACCAATCTAAGAGATAAAAAAGTGGGTTGTAAACTACATATTGTCTTGAATGCAATAATTGGACAAATGATACTTACTAGTATTATAAAGCAACCATGCATTGTTATGAACAAACATTCAATTACCTCTTTGTAAAATTATATCACTGTTTAAAAACTGCTGTGATTTGCAATAGAAAGTACAACTATTTTAAGGTTTAAGGCTACGTGATTCTTAATCAAAGACATTTTGTAATTCACATAATTACATTACCTCATGTTAAAAAATATTAATCATCACCGCTTATCAGTCAGTCAGTTAATATAATTCCAGATATGCTAAAACGTGATATTTACGTAAGATTTCAGATACAAAACAGAATTTTGACAATGAAATTCATACGATTATACATCGGGAATTCAATGATCACAAAACATTGTAATCATTAAATTTGATAAGTAATTTTTGAACTATAAACATCAGTCGCGTGAATGATTTGACATACCCTAGATCCGCCCCTACATGTTATGACAATAACAACCATACGTACTGATGAATACCATATCCAAACGCTGTAGCAAGGTGTAGTGAAAATATTATTTTTATAAAATAAAAATAGAAATTAAAACTAAGAATAAACCAAGCTTAGTAAATTTGTTTGTTCCTACACCAATATACCCGGACTCATAAAGTCACGGCAAAAGTAACATACGACAATCTCCAGATTATAAAGAATGATAAAATAAAGGTACTTACCAAAATTTTTACGCATTGAAACATATTCTAGATCATAACTGCCTCTAAACTTAGAAAACGAGCTGCGCATTATCTTGTCTTGGCAACTATGAGTCAAATTCGATTCTTGCACGAGCGATTTTCAAATGAACACGAACGCCGATATTTTACAGGTATCGAAATAATTTTGATGTCAAATTGATTTAAATAACTTTATTTATCCATGACAGATATTTGAGATAAGTAAAACGTCGCCAAATGTCTTAAATATTCGAAAATCCTTGTTTGTAAACGTTATCCGACATACATTTTTATAGTAATTTGTATCTCTAGTGGGTAACCGGAAGTGCATTTTGCATATATAATTAGGTTTCACATTTAAAAACAAAAGCTCAAAATAATTCGCGATTTCGCTGCCAAGCAAGAAACCCGATGTAGTGTTCATCGCAGAAACATAGCTTACATGATACTTGTAATCTTGAGATATCTGAGTATAACATTGTTTATAAAACCAAAGCTTTTGGACCAAATGGAGGTGGTGTATATGTCTATATATAAAAAAATTTATTCAGTTTTCAGTTCTTGACTAATTTAGTTCGACTACGTTTGAGGTTTTTGGGTTAAAATTATGCCAATCAACTAGTTATAAACTAATTAGTTAATTCAATTACAGCAATGGACATTTTTATATTCTTGGTGTGAAGTCGTTTTGAATTTTGCTTTTACTAGATTTAATTTTTGCCATCTTACGGATCAATTCTGATTACCAGAAACAGCTTGAAATATACCTAAATGATACAACAAAACATCGGACATGATCTTAACAAATCTTTATAGTTTCTACAATAAGAATTCTATATCAACTTTCCTTCATTTAATTTATCAGAATATAATGTAATGTTATCTTATCAAGGCGTGAGATTTACTTTTCCCAACATTTAAGCCAATGAACGCCAAAAGTTCCACAATCTGATATTGTGAATTTTCATGGGTAAAACCAACTCTTAATTATGGAGCTAAGGTTTTCTTTTACAAACTTCCATAATACCAAGGAAACGGTAATAAAATTCAGACATGTTAATAAAAAACAATGAAAATCATAAGGCGTATCTTTGCTTTACATAACAATAAACTTTTAATGTTTTAAATTAAGTTACACAAAAGAATTTGCTACGTATCAACTCAAAGGACGTAACCATTTGACGCTTAACTTTTCAGAACTTAAGAAATCTGAAAGATCGAATGTTGAAAGCCTCAATCGTCGACCAGTAAAGGTTTGTAAGACGAAAGACAAAGTATTATCGTGTGTGTTAACGATGTAAAAATGAGATCTTACATAAAAGTTGTTTGTCAATTATAATTAATACACTTTTAATAAAAATTAGTCTCACCTTAGTACTATAAAATATACATCATAGATACCCGTATCAACTTGTGATCCTGTAGTTGTACACCAATTAAACAAAGTTACAAATACAAACAATTTGCTTACCAAAAATCACTGTCATCTAAAGGAAGCGTTTTTATAATAATGTGCTTGCTTGCTAAGGAATTCAAATGCTTGCTAGCATGCAATTATATTTATCTTTGGGTCTGGACGGTATATTTATAAAATATGTGTAATTTCATTATACTTGTGATGATATGAAATGACATTTATGAATCAGGAAGAAAATTTAGTTTGAAATTGCAAATGGACTCATGCATGCCATCATTGAATATTTTAAATATTTAGTCGTTTTGTCGTTTTGTGACGTTGCAATTATCTTTTGTCGAGCTGTTGACGCTAAGGTGATACATGCAAATTCATATCCTTAAACAAATAAAACTGAAAATCTTTGATTTCTGATTTGAAAAAACAGAGCTTTTGGACCACATGGTGGTGTACAGCAGATATTCTTATATTTATTATGCCACGTTTGAGGCTCTTCAGGTTAAAATTAGACCGATTAACTAATTATAAACTAATTATTCAATTCAATTACAGCAATGAACATTTTTGTATTCTTGGTGTGGATTCGTTTTGACTTGTCATTTGATAAACTTAACTTTTGCCACCTTACGAATCAATTCAGATTACCAGAAACAGCTTGTAGTTAAATATACCTAAAAGATGCAAACAAACATTGAACTTGATGCTAACAAATCTTTAGAATTTCTACAAGACTCCAACAAGAATTCTCTATCACCTTCCCTTCATTTATCAGAATATAATGAAATGTCACCTTATCCAACTGTGAGATTTACTTTTTTCCCAACATTAGAGCAAACAAACGCATATTTTAGTTAAGACTTAGTCTTTTTCACGAAATGAGGATCTTGTAAATATATATTGGGAGACAAAATACAGAGGTCATTTGTTTACGAATGACAAACAACAATAACAGTTGGGCCCAGGCCCATTATTAATCAACGATTATCCCATTGTGCTCTATCCCTCCTAAGTCTTTTCTAGTATAGGAAAGCGTAATATAAAGTTGTTCTTTGATATTTATTCATCCTCTTAATTTTCTAACAGCCCTTTCTTGTTGAAATCGAGTAATTTGCGTAGAGCTAGTGGTGCTTTCTTGCTAGGCTTTGTGGTCGCTGGTGTAGGTTCTCTGGCATCCTCAGGTATCTTGCTTGCGTTTGGTGAAGTTCCATCTGCGGTATTTATGTTCGGTAGTGGTGCTGGCTCCGGAGTATCAGACTGTGTCGTCGGTCCTATACTTGGTAATGACGATGTTGGTTTTCTGTTGGCTGGTGTCAATTTGTTGGGAGTAAGGTTCTCAGTTGAGACTTTGGGTATCAGCAGTAGGTCCGTATCAATAGTATATTTGGGTGACTGCTCTTCTACAGGTGTGAGTTGCCGGAGAAATTTTCTGTTTCTTAGTGTAATTCTGTTGGACCCGTCGACTTTGACGCGGTATTGATCGTGTTGAAGGACTTCGATGCATGTTCCAGTCTTGTCCCATTTCATAGTGTACGGTCCTGTTTGGTTCTGTATTCTTACGTGATGTCCAATGGACATAGGTGGTAATCTTCTTGTGTGTTCTGTCCAACGTTCCGCCGCTCTCATGTGCCGGTTTCGTAAAGCCTTCTCTCGAGCATCGAGTGTTTCGCTCCAGGTTACGTGTGGCCTATAACGGCCGGGAAAATTGGTATGAATTCCTTAATGGGTCTACCCAAGACGCTTTGGGCCGGTGATAACTTCGTATCGGTATCGGGCGTCTTACGATATTGTAGAACAGCAATTTGTAAGGCGTTTGTGTTGAGGCTACCAGTGGGGCCGGTATTGTTCGCGATGAGGCGTTTCACAGTTTTAACTGCAACCTCGGCGCGACAATTTAAGTGCGGGAATTTCATTTATGATTACGGATTTGGATTCCTCAAACAGTGTGTTGAGCTCTTTGTCCCAAAGCAACCTTGTGCCAGGTTTTAGCAGTTTTCTAAACGGTAGCATGCGTTCAGTGGCTCCAAATGCATATGAGACTTGATTGTTCAGGCCAAACCAAGAGCGGATGTCAGTGATACTGCTCGGCTTTGGGAAATGGCGAATAGCATCGATGAATTTCCTGATTGGGCGAACAGAGTTTGATGTGATTTCAAACCATGCGAACTCGACTGTATCTTATCCGAAGACAAATTTGTCTTGGTTGAGGATAATGCCGTTTTGACCGCAAATCTCTAGCCATTCGACAGCCTGATGGAAACTTTGGGCGAGGTTATTTGCCCAAAGTAGGAATCTCATCGAACCGGCGTGAGTAATCGTCCCTGAACCAATGTACCCTTGTGGCGCAGACTAATATCGATAGCGACCCCAGGGAGTGATAAAAGTGGTGAGGTGTCTGTCGTCTGAGTGAAGGGGAACGCTGTGATAACCGTTTCAGCAGTCGAACACTGATTTCTTTTTGCCACTAGGAACAGAGTGGGCCTGGTGGTAAGGGCTCTGGGTGGGTCTCCCTAGTGGCCTGTAGGTCAACGGTTCGTCGTGGTTTACCGTTCCTTTTTGCACAGATGACCATCTTGTGGCACCAGGTGACAGCCTCGCCGATTGGGACGGATTTAATCACGCCGAGGGCACGTTGGATGTAACTGTCGGCGATCCCAATGGTTAATGTATCGCGGAGGATGTTGTCCGTGTAGTTGATTTCTGTTGCGCAGTTGGGACAGTTAATCGTAAATTTCCATACGCTGGCTTGACTACGAAGACGTGTGCCGAAGCTGCGAATGGTTTCGTCCCGATCCTGGCGCATGTTGTATTGTTTGATAAGGGCCACCATCGTGTTTTCCTCTCGTAGAGCGAGTACGCGCATTGAAGCCATAACGTCGTCGATGGGTTTGTTCGTGATGGTGCCGCCAGCATTTCTGGCGAGGTCCTTACGAAGCGTTTCGTCACAGCATTCGAGTAATTGGATGACTTTGTCTCGAATCCCGCACTGCATAAAATTATTCATACGACATTCCTTTCGCGAGAAAACATGAGCCCAACAATATTGACGTGCTCACCACTGTGTGACTTCATAGCTCAGTTGGTCAGAGAACTGCACCGGCACTGCAGAGGTCATGGGCTCGAATCCCGTTGAGTCACCTGAATTTTTCAGGTCCGGAGACGATTGCTTAAATTGTCCAGCAAAGTGCGAAGATCATATCTTCATTTAATTTCAAACACCGCACTGCAGAAAACATTCATATGACATTCCTTTCGCGAGAAAACATGAGCCCAACAATATTGACCTGCTCACCACTGTGTGATTTCATAGCTCAGTTGGTCAGAGCACTGCACCGGCACTGCAGAGGTCATGGGTTCGAATCCCGTTGAGTCACCTGATTTTTTCAGGTCCTGAGACAATTGCTTAAATTGTCCAGAAAAGTGCGAAGATCATGTCTTAATTTAATTTCAAACACCGCACTGCATAAAACATTGATATAAAAACTACTTTGTTCAATAATGTGCCAAATTTTGCTCCTACCTTGAAATATTTGCTCAAGAAAAGCTTATGATGACATGCATGAAGCATTAAATATAGTACTGCGTCATTTGACAAAATCCATACGTTTTTCAATTCCAGGATGTATTGTTTGCAATGAAGTTGGATGCGGAAGAAGCAAAAATTGATGGCAAAGAACTTTTTATGTCTTTTGAATAATTACGATATCAGTTAAAGGAATAAGAGTAGGAATCTAGTAAAAGAAGCAACATCTGCCTTCAACATGAGATTCTTCCAATTATGTATAGTTACTTTCTACAAAATACTATTTTAGATAAACTTGATTTTTAAGTCATTCACTGATATTTTTACCAAGAGACAAAAAGAAAAATTTTAAAGGCATAATGTAAAATTCAAAAGTTTGTCAAGTTGTTTGAACCTAGAAAAAATTAGTATAGGTAACTGTAATTTGTAAGGGCACAAGAGAAAAGTAGTGCAAGAAGGTTAGCATTTTTGAGAATTAATAAGTTCTTGACATACATTACACAAGGCCATAATATTATAAATAAAGTCTGTACAATAACAATTATACAACATGCTAAATATCTTCACCTACATTATAATTATTTAAACAGGTTTGCCTTCATGCAGCAATAAGAAAAGTGTTACGTCAGAGAAACCAATGCACTTTAATTTAAGAAATCGTATCTTCAATGGGAAATTAATGTAGTTCTGTTCAGTAGTAGATCCATGGTTGTCAATGACAATCCAGTTTCTAATATCTTGGCTCAAAACAGAACCAGCAACATGATTATAGAATTTGTGAATTTCGTTCTTTTGCTCTCCTAGTTCAAGATGTTTTCCTCATAAGTTCTCAAGTACATACCTACTTATAATATATTTCAGGTCGACTTAAGTCGTAGGGGTAAGCTAACATTTTCTAACTCTTTTTTGGACATTCTAACTAAGATTTACCCATCTATTTAAGAAAGACAGTTGCACCAAGCTGTTAACAAACAGTCAAAAACACAAGTAATGCTAATGAAATTATGCATTAAAGCTTAACAACACATTGACAGTGTAAAGAATGCCGTTTGATATTTATTTCTAATATAGCTAAACATTACTTGACAAAATATATATTGTTTTTCAGTAGATTTACCTCATTTAAATGTGTGGGTCTATTTCACAAAAACCTGAAGCATTATTTTCAATATTTTATGCTTACGGTTTCATGGTTGATTTCGCTGGTTGTCATTAATATACCTTAGTTGTATTAAAATTCGCGCAGTACTAGAATTCGCGCAGCGCTCAGTGCGCGAATTTTAGTACTGCGCGAAATATAATCTGCGCGAAAAGCTTTGTAGTGTAATATGAGATATTCATTGTTGGTTATGCAAATCAGTTGTTTTATTAACGCATATACATATTGACATATGTTTTTAGTTGTCCTGGTAACATTAAAAATCAAAAATGTCTTCATTTTCATCCTGTACAATTTCAGTCGGGATATTCTCAGGTTCTACGTAGTATTCCGTCACGAATGCCTGCATTTTGCTGTATATCCTAAAACTTGCATTGTTCTGCATGACTGTTAGTGTAATAGGAATCTCCAAGCCTCCTTGTGGTAATGGGGATCGACGAAATTTGATGTCACACACACATGCTTCTATATTGCCCCCATATTCAAAAAAGAACTTTCAAAATCGGGAAATCTCTCGAGGCAAATGTCCGACCAGTGACAATGGTTCAATCTTGCCTCTGATTTTGGTAAACAGACCAATAGCATATGGGTCGAAATGGTTTCCTGATTCTGGTTTTATTATTAACTGCTGGTTGATTCTTGGAGCTCAGATTCTTCTGTATTCATGAAAACCTCGTGATGCGCAAGCCAGAGAAAACGATGTCCCCTCGGGGCTCAGTTTCACTGAATTAGAATCATCCGTTCCTGAATCGTGGGTTTCCTGAAGCAAGCAATCAGATGCGTAATTTTCTTTCGCGTCGCACGCTTCACATAAAGCAACACTCGAACCACTTTTCCATCCAGGATAGTTTTCACATGCAGGGATTTTTGGGGTGCCATATCCGCCAAAATTACACTATATTCAATTATTCAGCACATTTTTTATCATTATTCAGCCTTATTTCAATTATTCAGCATATTTTTTATCATTATTCATCCTTATTTCAATTATTCAGCACATTTTTTATCATTATTCAGCCTTACTTCAATTATTCAGCACACATTTTATCCTTATTCAGCCTTATTTCAATTATTCAGCACATTTTTTATCATTATTCAGCCTTATTTCAATTATTTACTAGTACTTACGTTTGTTTTGGCTATAAAACTTACTTGTAATACCGATCGGTAAAGACTATTTAAATTAGTTCAACTTACAGACAGAACAGTTATTGTTTTTGGCTATAGCAAGATTTTGAGGTACCATTTGAAAAGATAAAAAAACGAGGGAAAAATTGGTTGAAATGATGGAAGTAGAAGGTGAAACACAAACACTGAGGGAAATGATTCGTTGGAGAATTTTAGAAGTAAGAGATCGTTTAAATCGGTGTGATGTCAATTTAGAAATGCAAGACGTATTGGAAGTTGTCGATGAATTGGTACAATACGTTGTTCTACTAGATTCATTTGAAAGGGTTTCTGAACAGGTTTTAAACTATTTAATCCATGCTCGTAACACGCTATCCAGGGAAAGTATCAGAGCCACTTTTGAATATGAATCGTGCGATATTGCTAATGCTGGCAGGCCTTCACTGATTATCGGAAAAGAGCAAATTGAATATCTTCTGGATTGCAGTTTTACAGTCAATCAAATAAGCGAAATACTACATGTATCGAAGCGCACTATAGAACGTCGTATGAGTGCATATAACTTGACAGGAGTGAACAGATTTACAGAAATTAGCGATCAACAGCTTGATAACAATGTTAACTACGTTAAACAAATCGCGCCCGACTGCGGTTCAAAGCTTCTTTCCGGTTACCTGCGGTCAATAAATATTCGTGTGCAAAGACGTCGTGTCCGAGAATCCCTTACTCGTGTAGATTCCTTAGGTGTTCTTGCCAGGCGATGCAGGGCTGTCCATCGTAGGGTGTATAATGTTGCTGGACCAATTGCTTTATGGCACCTAGATGGAAACCATAAACTTATCCGTTGGCGCTTTGTGGTTCATGGGTGTGTCGATGGATACACTCGTATCCCTGTTTTCTTACAATGTGGTAATAATAACAGAGCAGCTACTGTTCTTAGCCTGTTTAGGAAAGCTATTGACGATTGGGGTCTTCCATCACGTGTACGATGCGATAAAGGAGGAGAAAATGTTGATGTTGTGCAGTACATGCTAAATCATCCTCAACGTGGCCCTGGACGAGGATCAGCGATTACTGGGAAAAGCGTGCATAACCAGAGAATAGAGCGTCTTTGGCGTGATGTGTTTGAAAGTGTTTTAAAGTCCTTTTACAATTTGTTCTATTCAATGGAGGATCATGGTATTTTGAATCCTGGTGATGAAGCAGACATCTGGTCTCTTCACTTCGTCTTTATGAAGGAAATCAACTATTGTCTGTTTTGATGGCTTGAAGCATAGATTAGGCATCCACTTCGAACAGAGCATAACAGTACTCCTTTGCAGCTTTGGATCAATGGCATGCGTTGGAATCAAAACGCATCTCTTCCTCATGAAAACATAGACTGGGAGACTTATGGCATAGACTGGACAGGCTTTGTTCCAGCAGAACTTGAAGTTGAAGCATCAACAGTAGAGGTGCCAGAAAATATATTCTCTGTCAACGCAGAAGTGATAAATGAATTGAATACAATTTTAAGAGAAGTCATTGACACTAATGGTGATGTTATAGAGCAGTACTATGTGGTAAGAGATTATGTCAAACAACTGGATTCACGGTAACCTTCAATGAATTCCTCCGATCCATGATATGTCAAAAAAATAGAAATTGAACAAAAAATTTCTAAATCTTTATTTCTCATATTGATATGGTGTTGACAATACATCTTAATTAAAAAGGAAATAGACATGGACTGTGTGTTTATTCCAATTATAAGGTAAATGAAAGAATCTATTATTTATAAACACATGTTTCTGAATTACCAAACAAAACAAAATTTATCATGAAAATATGTGAGCAACTAGTAATATCTAATCTACAATCCACTTTAAATGTCAATGACAACCACCATAAAATGATAATCTATTCTCTTTTTCAATAAGCAATGTAAACAAAAGGCGTTTCGATGAAAAAACTACAATTGTCGAAACACCGAGCGCAACACAAAAAATATAATTGGGAAAACAATAACTCTTTGAAGAAAACTCATAATTAACTCAATATATATCCCAATAAAACTTTAGTGCATAATATGGGTTCATTGTTGTAAAGAAGCACTCTCGTTGTAAGTTATTTCTTGCAAAATCAAGAAATAAGAAACTGTCAAAATTGTAAAATCCGCAACTGGTACAAGATTTTGAGTTTGTTTCAATGAAGTCAAATTGCAAACAATTCTTGCCATATATTTGTCCCTAACATCTTCTTTGTTTGAGGTTGGTCGGGCTACCTTTTATTTTGTAAGATAATTACAACAAAAGGTTGTGCCACTTTGTAATCAATGTTCCCATATCCTTTATGATTGTGCAGTGTTTAGTGGCTAAGTTAAGAAGTTAAGCATATCCAAAACCTTTGGCGTTTATTAACGCAAATGTAAAAGCCTCCTTAAAAGCAGAATAAACAGAATGAGTGGTTGGCAAATACAGAACACAAGAACAAGTATTTGCTTTGGGAAAATTGGAAAGCAAACCGTTGGCTTCGGGATGGTGCAAAAACGGAAAATTGTACGGAAAGGAGCAGTTTTTAATCCTGAAGTGAAAAACAGAATATCAGAAAACGATAGTTCAACCTCATCCTCCTCTATGTCAAGTAAAAGATCTTCCCAAAAAGCAAGAATTCTGCTTTCTACTCTCCATCTATTCGATTCCACCTCGCTTCTACGAACTGAAAATAGATTTCCAAGTACAACTGATGAAAGCTGTTGTTCGTGAAAACACATAACCTTATGAAATGTGGAAGGGTTGCAAAGAATAGAGTCAAGAACACCTAAGCAATTGAGACCGTTACGGAAACTTTCAAACGCAGGCCGAGTCCTACCCAGAATATACCAATGAGCTGTCTCACGTGCAACATCTTTAACATCATCAACACTTCTCATCGATCTCAACGAACCAGATAGCTCTAAAACACTATCTAATTTCTTATTTGCAATTATTTCATTTGCCTCTTCCACTGATTCAGCAGATATTAACTGCTGTAGGCCTACTTGCAATTCTAGGTCATACACAGTTTCGACAGGTACAACAATTGCACTTGGATCATTTACAAGTGAATCAAACAAGACTGGATTAAGACAACGAGGACCAATTCCACAATGAACTATTGCCATAGCAAAGAGTTGCCCTGCATAGAAATATTCTTGTTCTTTCAGAGCCTTAGCGTCAAGAGATAAACACCTTTCTCGCTCCTTTCCACAGAAAAGTTTACCGGATGATACTTTCTCAATAGCTAAAGTAAAGAATTCTCTCATGGGTCCACCTACATCAACAGCGCCCTCTGAATGACCCACGTCGTCGGTGAACTTTACAAAAACCTTTCTATCTGGGGAGAAAGATTTCCTTGAAATTCCTCGCAATATCCTAGCCCAAATATCACTTCGGCATATGTTGAATTTGGAAATATGCAATGGATCAAGATTGCCAGCAAGCTGTTGTAAAATGTCATTTAAATCCAAAACATTTTCTGGTTCAAGCGTATCCTTTGCAGTACTTGTGTCCGAGTCGAGTGGACTTTCTTCATTTTCGTTGACCATAATTTCATCCTCACATTTATCAAGTAAAGTAGCATCATTGACTTCTTCAAATAGCAATGTTCCATACATCATATCTAAGTCTATAATATTATCACTTTCTTCAATAACATGAGTTATTTCATTACTCATTTCTATGGAAGTTTCCGTGCTTTCTGGTGGGCATGTTTCATACAGTGGTTGGGTTGTTAAATTGCTTGTTTTCGTGTACGTTGAACAGCATGTTTCTTGGTCTGTGACACGAGTCCCTGATGGTGTTTGACTGCTTCGGCCTGTAATACTAAGCGTTGTGTGGCTTGTTGGAAGTGGTGTTGTAGAATTTTTCGGATCTTTCCTAAAGTGCGATATGATAGGAAGTGAAGTTAGAAAAATTTTGTAAGCTAAACTTTTTTTAATATGAAGAAAAGTTTCAGTTTTTATTAGCCTTTTTTGTGACTTGTTCTATTGGTACATTAATAGTACGTACAACTAAGAAGAGAAAGAAGAGAAATCTTTAATGTTCTTTCAACTGCTCTTTAAAAATTTAGCTTGTTATGTGGCTACTTCACTGAAGTTGATTGCGCAGACATCGAAGTTGTCGTACGCGGTCCTCGAGTACTGCTATAGGGGGCAAACAACCGTCTAAATTCGTCTCTTGCTCTCTCCGACCTTTCAGGAACCGTTTGCTGTGATGTGATGTTCGTTACACCTACAGCGATTTCGTCCGGTACTCTAGAATTTTCCCCATTATTACTAACTAAGAGACTTGTTGCTGCTTGAGACAATAAGCGAGCCGCTTCTTCTATACGCGGTTTATCCATTAAAACAAAGAACCGTTAAAACAACTGAAATACTTTCACTGAAATAACAATTGTTTGTCACTAATTGTTTCAAAGCACGTGTAACCAAAACAAACAACATAAAAGAAGCGCTAGTGCCAGACTGCTGGATAATAAAAAATAAGTGCTGAATAATTGAAATAAGGCTGAATAATGATAAAAAATGTGCTGAATAATTGAAATAAGGCTGAATAATGATAAAAAATATGCTGAATAATTGAAATAAGGCTGAATAATGATAAAAATGTGCTGAATAATTGAATATAGTGTAATTTTGGCGGATATGGCACCCCATAGGGATTGAACACTTGATTCCTCGGTTACAAACAAATGATTTGCATTTTAGACAAGTGTATTTTGTCAAATCATTGCACACGATGCAAATGCTTTCCATTTCTCCAACACAATAGTCAATGATGAGTCACGTTTCTTTAGGTGTTAGATATGATGTTCTATTATTATTTTACTGACTGATTTTACTTCCTTATTAACTAATTGCCGAATACGTCAAACGTTTCCGCTACACATATTCTACCATTCAAGTATTGCCAACAGAAAACATTGTGCAGGAAATCAACGCACATGGCTCTGTTAAAATATTTCAAAAAGGTTTCCCAAGACGATATTTCGGTCGCGTCGTCTGACAGCAAATTAAATGCTGCCGAAGAAAATGCAGTAAAACAGCAATTATTTCTTGACGCTCCAGAACCAAAGAAAAGGAGGGCCAAATATGGAGCATATGATGCTTTTCAACGAGCAGAAATTGCAAAATGGGGAATTGTGCATGGAATAAGCCGGCGGCAAGAAAGTATTCCGTACCAGAGTCAACTTTTCGTGGACTTGTCAAATCGTACAATAAGGAACGAAAAGAGCGCACTGAACTCGAACAATTGCCAAGAAAACATCGTGGAGCAAAAACTTTGTTACCCGAGAACATCGATGAGAAAGTTATTGCCATGATCAAGAGCATGAGAACAGCCGGTTGTGTTGTCAATTACAACATTGCTATTTCCATAGTGAAGGGGATAGTACTGGCTAATGATCGGTCTTTGTTGAAAGAAAACGGAGGAACCCTAGAATTCCACTATACATGGTGCCAGTCAATTTTCAGAAGATTGGGTTTCAGTAAATGTAGAGCAACAACTGCAAAACAACCCGTATCACCTGGCTTCTTAAAAGAAATTCGCTTCACGTTTCATCGTTCTATTAAGTGTTTACCGCTTATGACGTTCCCGACGATCTCATTATAAACATTGACCACACCCCTCTCCCGTTTGTCCTCATCAGCATGTATACAATGGACAAAACTAACGAGAAGTTTGTGCCGATCAGTGATAGCGCCGATTATCGCCAAATTACTGGAACATTCTCAGTCACCGCGTCGGGAAAGTTTCTGCCAATTCAACTAATCTACCAGGGGAAAACAGACCGGTGTCACCCTAAATTCAGATTTCCAAAAGAATTCCACGTTACCCACACGGAAAATCATTGGTCAAATGAAACGAAAGCAATTGAATTAGTCAATCGCATTCTTATCCTCTATGTTAAGCAAATTAGAGAAGCTTGGTTTTCGCGCAACAAAACAATGGGTTTTTATCGCCGATGTTTTTAAAGCACATTGGACGGATGCCGTAAAGATCATTTCCCACAATAATGGGAAGATGATACCTGTTCCCATTAATAAGACATCATACCTGCAGCCCTTAGATTTAACGGTCAATCGCTCTTGCAAAGCTTTCCTTCGAACCCAGGTTCAAACATGGTACTCAGAGCAAGTCCAAACCCATATAGAGAAAGGTATTCAACCTGATAAAGTTTCTGTTGATTTGAGAATTAGCATGCTCAAACCACTTAACGCAAAATGGATAGTGCAGTTCTATGATTACATGCAATCGAACAAGGACATTGTCGTCAAAGGTTGGCAACGATCAGGTATGAGCGCCGCATTGGAGGAACCACAACGAAAAGAGGATCCATTTGAACTGTAGCTAAACTTTTGTTTGACTTATAAAGTATATTGTTAGGCAATATCATTTATTATATTTTTTAGTTCTTGTTGGGATAGTGAAGTCACGCTTTATTTTGAAGCCATTTTTGAGGCCACCCAATCGCTTTTTGATGAAAATTGACGTATTTCTTAATAAACAAAGCTCAATATAAATGCGTTAATTATTAATAGTTCTTTTGAACAAACCAAAAAGAACGAGCACATAAAACTACTTGCGCGAATTTAAAGCTGCGCGAATAATTTGTCAACAAAGTGCGCGAAATTAAATCTCGCGAATATAAAGCTGAGCGAAAATGAGTACGACTCGAATTTTAATACAAGTAAGGTAAGCAGTAATAGAAATCCGGATTCCGGAGGGAGCGAATGTTAAAAATTGTTCTCAAAGTGGAAGTTTTGACAACCAAAATCCGCCATTACCGCCATGTTTTTGACCACGGAGTCCAGGCTCCTTTTCCCCTCCAGGTCTTATAGAACTCAGTGGTCATAACCCTATTTGCATTTGCCGAGCGTTTTTGCTTAGAGTACATGTCACGTGACTATTCTCACTTGCTCAAATCATGGAAGCAGTGGTCCTTATGATTTCTGAAGAGTTTCAACGAAAAAGTCATTGTCATTGTATTTGAAAACCGTTTTTACTAAGACTGCTTTTTCAGAAACTTTTTATCGACGTGTATGTCTGTATGAGATCGCGTTCATGGAACCGATAATTCAAGTCACATATGACTTGTATCACTGTAATGTAGCCAGCCAGCATGTTCTGGTCGTTCTATGTAAATTTCAGAATATCATTATTAGAAGTTTATTGTTTTTACATTGAGTGAAGACAGAAAAATTGAATTGTATTACTGAATTTGGTTTCGCCATTTACATTGAATGTAATTATTATCATATGTACAATACCACAATCTATTTTTCCTATATCTACCACGATTTTTTATGGATTGCAAAACTTAATGTTTGTCCAAAGTGTGCCAAATACAACTATACAAGTACAAAATTCACTCAACTAATGGGTTTTAACCATGATGTTTGCGATCGCTTGCAAAGCTAGCGCTTGTATATATTGATATCTTCAGTTGTTTTGTAGGAAGGTCTGATCATGCGCACTAAATAAACAATGTTTTGTTTTGTAGAAATTGCTGGAGTTCAATGAGATGGATGGAAGACGGCCGGTTCGTCGCCTGCTTTTTGCAGTAAAACATGTAGTTTTATAGCCTGCGCACAGGTAGGTAATGAACAAAAACTGCGAGAAATGCACACCAAAGTACAGGACACCACGGACTCCCCAAACACTACTCGCACCTTAGGTTCTCGGCTCAGGCTTTGGGCACCGTTTTTAAAGTTAATATATTTAGGGCTCATTTTCAGTAAGAGCTGACTGCCCCCCCTGGAGTGTTCCTAGCACGCAACTGATCCCACTCTCCTATATTAAAAAAAATATTCAAAATACTTGTTAACCCAACAGAACTTTGTCGAAACAATTAAAATTTGCTCCCAAAGTGTCTTCATTTGAAGTATGGCGGCCGTACTTTTTCTGTTTCAAAAAAAGTGTTGAATTTTACTTTTCTTACATGACATACATCACGGAGAAGCCACTGACTGACTCTTGACTTAAACTTTTTTTAACGCCTCAGGTATTTCATTTTCAATATGAACATAATAGCCCAACATAAGACTTTTAAAAAAGCCATCACAATAATAAAACAGAGAAGGATTTATTAATAACGTTTCGTCTTTAACTTAAGACATCTTCAGATTATTTGAGTTAATTTATATACACGAGGTTTTAAATACAAGCATATATTACGAGGTGTTAAATTACATGTGAGGGGAGTAGGAAGTTTAGATGACGGAATTAAGTGAGAATGGCGGTATATTAAAGAAGGTGAAGGGGGATTGAGTGGTTCTTTACCAACGTTACGTTGATGATTGCTTTCTACTCTTCCGATCATTCTATCACATACCTCTTTTCCTTACCTATCTCAACCACCAACATCCTAACATCTCCTTTGCACCTGAACTGGAAAAAGACAACACGCTCCCCTTTCTTGACGTAAAAATATCTCGCTCAAACGGCAAGTTTTCCACCTCCGTGTATCGTAAACCCACTTTCACTGGTCTCTTCACCAATTTCCATAGTTTCATTCCCATTCAATACAAACGCTCCTTGATCTCCTTTTTACTTCACAGAATTTTCAACCTCTGTTCCAGCTATGAGCACTTTCATACCGAACTAGAAGTTGTTAGAAAATCTTTCACCTTAAACAACTTCCCTTCATACATATTTGACAATCATGTTCACCGCTTCCTCAACAATACATTTGTACCCAAAGATCTTATTCACACTGCTCCTAAGAAAATCATGTACTTCTGTCTCCCTTTCACTGGCCTACACTGTCTTCAGATTCGCACTCAAATCACTTGACTCTGCAATGCTGCCTTTCCTCATATCAACGTTCGCTTTGTTTTTCGTTCTTCCAGGCGTCTCTCCTCTTTCTTTCCTTTTAAAGATAGTCTTCCCAAGCTCCTGAGATCTGGTGTTGTATACTCATTTAAGTGTCGATGCTGCTCTGCATCGTATGTGGGCCAAACCACGCGTCACTTACACAACACAATATCAGAACACTTGGGAATCTCTCCTTTAACAGAGAAGCCTTCCTTATGTCCACCACCATCTGCAGTTCTTTCTCATATAAGAAATACATTGTATACTGATTTTTTCAGGTCCTGAGACGATTGCTTAAATTGTCCAGCAAAAAGCGAAGATCATATCTTCATTTAATTTCAAACACCGCACTGCATAAAACATTCATAATCAGTATTTTCTTGATAATCTTTTTTGACACAAGGTGCTGACTTTTTTCCTTCGTAGCGAAAATAACAGATTGAATTGTTATTTCTTTGTAGACAATAGAGTGATTTAGCAAACACGACGTTTCGTCTAAGACGTCGTCAAATGTTTGCGAGGGATCTGGGTCTAGGACGCCACTACGTCGTAAAGTATTTATGATTTAGCAAATCTTTTTAAGGACTTTGTCAAATGATAGTATGAAACAAGTTTTATTCATTTCGGCATTTTTCCTGCTGGATCGTGTTTTCCGATCATTTTAAACTAAATTTTTGATATCAAAAATATACTGCAGTATATTCATTTCAAGAAAATTAGAAATGAAAGCAAAATCATCGACATACGTCTTTGTGACTAAAATTGTTTTGACTCTGAGGAAACCCCCGAAATTAGAGCAGACCCTGCGTTGTTTATTTATTTGTTTTTTTTTCGCTTTGGAAAAAAATACTCGCAATTTTTTCTCAAATGAATATATGTAGGCCTAAATAATCTTGTAACATGCAAATATCAAGGATATTTCCTTATTTTTTGTTTAAAAATTAAGTTTGTTTCAGCCAACGTCGATACGACGTCAAATTGTATGTTTTCACGTCGTCGTCGTCAACGCGACTGCCGTCATAGATTGAACCGGAAGTAAAAGGCGCATGCCACGCCATTTTCACGACATCTTAGACGAAACGTCGTGTTTGCAAATCACAATAATATCGTGTAAAATGTCTTTATCAGTGACATATTCATTTATAAGAATGCTGGTGTTCATTTTTGTTTTTGCTGTATTCCTTATTTTCCTTTCACCCTAAATGATCAGTAAGCAGCGTGTGCCTTTTCATCTTTTTTTTTATTTAGTGTTAGATCTGCATCATTCAGTAAAATTCCTTTAACGTTTTGATAAGATTTTTCTCCAATCGTATCTAAAGCTATAATCAGAGGCTTGTTGTCTTCCGGCAAACTTGCAAGCAAGGTCTTTGCTAATTTTTAATCATTATTTTTACAATTCCCATTTCATTTAGTTTGTCTTGAAGAGATTTCAATTTGTTGATATGATCGATTATGTTTTCTACACTTTTCAATCAGCAAGAATTATATTGTTGTCGTAGTAGGACAATCTTTGAAATAGAAGTTGTGGCAAACTGCTTTCTCAAAATATCCCATGTCTCTTTCGCTGTATGTATATTCTTTACATTCATTTGCATTGATTTGTATTGATTTGCATTGATTTACATTGATTTACATTGATTTTTTTGACTCCCAAACAAATGTACGTCCATCCTTTCATCCAAGCAAGTCCAAACGCTCGCTTCACCTGATGAGACGCGTCTTCTTGTAGGATTTCAACAGATCCATCCGCATGATCAACAAGTGTACGTCCATCCTTTCTTCGAAGCAATTCTAAATGTTCGTTTTAAGAAAAAGCTCTGGAAATTCGAAAACAATCGTATGGTCCAAATCATGTTGATGTCGCTACGTCTTTAAACGATCTTGGTGTGGTGTATGATAAAACTAGAAACTACGACAAAGCTATGGAGATTTACGAAAAGGCTCTAGAAATTCAAAAACAATCGTCAGGTCCAAATGATGTTAATGTAGCTACGTCTTTAAATAATCTTGGTAATGTGCTTGGAAAAACTGGACACTACGACAAAGCTATAGAGTTTCACGAAAAAGCTCTGGAAATTCAAAAACAATCGTTAGGTCCAAATCATGTTGATGTCGCTATGTCTTTAAACCATCTTGGTAATATGTATTCTGATACTGGAAACTACGATAAAGCTATAGAGTTTTACGAAAAAGCTCTGGAAATTCGAAAACAATCGTTAGGTCCAAATCATGTTGATGTCGCTACGTCTTTAAACAATCTTGGTGTGATGTATGATAAAACTGGAAACTACGACAAAGCTATAGAGATTTACGAAAAAGCTCTAGAAATTCAAAAACAATTGTTAGATCCAAATCATGTTAATGTCGCTACGTCTTTAAATAATCTTGGTAATGTGCTTGGAAAAACTGGACACTACGACAAAGCTATAGAGTTTCACGAAAAAGCTCTGGAAATTCGAAAACAGTCGTTAGGTCCAAATCATATTAGAGTCGCTGCGTCTTTACACAATCTTGGTTTGGTGAATTATGACACTGGAAGGTACGACGAAGCTACAGAGTTTTACGAAAAAGCTCTAGAAATTCGAAAACGATCGTTAGGTCCAAATCATGTTGATGTTGCTCTGTCTTTAAACAATCTTGGTATGGTGTTTGAAAAAACTGGAAACTACGACAAAGCTACAGAATATTACGAAAAAGCTCTGGAAATTCAAAAACAATCGTTAGATCCAAATCATGTTGATGTCGCTATGTCTTTAAACAATCTTGGTACGGTGTACTCTGATACTGGAAACTACGACAAAGCTAAAAAGTTTCACGAAAAAGCTCTGAAAATTCAAAAACAATCGTTAGGTCCAAATCATGTTAATGTCGCTACGTCTTTAAATAATCTTGGTAATGTGCTTGGAAAAACTGGACACTACGACAAAGCTATAGATTTTCACGAAAAAGCTCTGGAAATTCGAAAAAAATCGCTAGGTCCAAATCATGTTAGAGTCGCTGCCTCTTTACACAATCTTGGTTTGGTGAATTATGCTACTGGAAAGTACGACGAAGCCACAGATTTTTACGAAAAAGCTCTAGAAATTCGAAAACAATCGTTAGGTCCAAATCATGTTGATGTTGCTGTTTCTTTAAACAATCTTGGTTTGGTGTTTGAAAAAACTGGAAACTACGACAAAGCTATAGAGGTTCACGAAAAAGCTCTAGAAATTCGAAAACAATCGTTAGGTCCAAATCATGTAGCTGTTGCTCAGTCTTTAAACAATCTTGGTTTGGTGTTTTATAAAATTGGAAACTACGACAAAGCTGAACAGGTTCACGGAAAAGCTCTAAAAATTCGAAAACAATCGTTAGGTCCAAATCATGTTGATGTCGCTCAGTCTTTATACAATCTTCGTGATGTGTATATTTATACTGGACACTGCGACAAAGCTATAGAGTTTCACGAAAAAGCTCTGAAAATTCGAAAACAATCATTAGATCCAAATAATGTTTATTTTGCTGCGTCATTAAACAGTCTTGGTAATGTGTATTATGAAACTGGAAATTACAAGAAAGCTATAGAGTTTCACGAAAAAGCTCTGGAAATTCGAGAACAATCGTCAGGTCCAAATCATGTTAATGTTGCTGCGTCTTTAACCATTCTTGGTAATGTGTATTATGAAACTGGAAATTACAAGAAAGCTATAGAGTTTCACGAAAAAGCTCTGGAAATTCGAGAACAATCGTTAGGTCCAAATCATGTTAATGTTGCTTTGTCTTTAGACATTCTTGGTAATGTGCTTGAAAAAACTGAAAACTACGACAGAGCTAAAGTGGTTCATGGAAAAGCTCTGGAAATTCGTGAACAATCGTTCGGTCCAAATCATGTCGATGTTGCTCAGTCTTTGCGAAATCTTGGTAATGTGTATTATAAAACTGGAAACTACGACAAAGCGAAAGAGTTTTACGAAAAAGCTCTAGACATTCGCAAACAATTGTTAGGTCCAAATCATGTTCATGTCGCTTCGTCTTTATACAATCTTGGTAATGTGCTTGAAAAAACTGGAAACTACGACAAAGCTAAAGAGGTTCACGAAAAAGCTCTGGAAATTCAAAAACAATCTTTAGGTAAGAATTTATACAAATTTCATAGTATAATACAAAAAAAATTTAAATTTGGCCATAATGAATGTAAAGTCCTGGATTTAAGTGGTTCATTGACATACAAATTATTTCATGTGAGGACTGGGTTATTCATTTTAGTTGTAGATAAACAAAAGAGCCAAAGCATTAATTAAATCGCAGTTGGGATTCATATTTACATTAATCAACAAAAACAATAATTCAAAAATCTACCAATAAACTAAAAACAGATACATAAAACCCGCTCTGAAGAAAAGTGAGATGGAAACAAAACATTTTAATCAAACAAACATTGCTCAAGATGTATAACAGCTATATACTCATTGTTAGTTGTAAGACTCACCAAACCCAGCTCTGTGAAAAATATGTATTCAAAAAATCATAGACGGAAATATTGACAAACATTGGAAATAATTCAGGATGATTTTAAAACAGACATATTTCAGCATGCTTATGCCAATTTCAGTTTATTACCTTTTACAGCAAGAATATATTATATCATTTATACATGTCACAGATATTAAATTACTGGAGTGAAAGTAGAAATTTTATTACAAGTTAAAATTAGACCTATAATGTATTTGTTTGGTGAGATCTAGTTGCTTAATATAAAACATAAATAAATGATTTGAGCAATAAAGATAACAAAAGCTTGACAAAACATGTGCCTACAATTTATCAAATCGTGGTCTGTATGAAATATTTAACTGCTATTTTGCTACGAATAGATTATTGAAACTACATTGACATAGCGTGAATGACATTTATACCAAACATTATAAAAATTCCAGTAATTATGCTTCCTGCAGGATGTTTCTCTAACTTTATAAAGGTGTTGCAGATGATTCTTTTAACTCTTAGATACCTTGCAGCTCTTGTTTAATAATTCAAAAATATTATAGCGATCACTTCTTCCCTTGTTTATTTCTCACGCTCATCTATTTTCCAGGAATACAGCTCAATTTCATTTCATAAGTGTCAAAAACTTGCTGCGGCGAGTTGATTGTTTAATGAAAGTATAGCGCCGAGGTAGGAGTAAACAAGACACATATCGCGATAAAATTTCTATGTTTGACCGATCTCTCTTAATTGCCTCGACTCAGTAGGGAAAGTCAGCCTTCTCAACAAATTGAGTGATTCGGCAAGGATTCCATATACATTAAAGGAAAGAATCGTCAACGAGAAATGAATTCGAACTTCGAAGTAGCTATTAATTAAGCAACCATTCATTTGCTCTGTTTAGGAAATAAAATTCGTAGATTTTCTAGGCTTTTGGGTGCTTGCATATTCTTTAGGAAACTTTTGAATGTATATATATACTGTGTGTGACGATAATGTATGATTAAAATAATTCCAGACTTTTCTTTTAAATTCATCAGTAATTAACCAACAACGCTAAAATATGTGTTAATATCTGTGTCTGCTTACAATTTTCGTTGTTTAACAGGTTGCATAAAGTTGCATAAGATTGTAATAGTTTCCTTGTCATCAAAACAGACAGTCAACAGCAACGCGGACTTTAGCAACCTTTTCTTAAAATTACTAAGATAATCAACAACGATTGGCGACAACAGTTCGTTAACATTTATCAATGTATGAATTCATTACAACGCCCTTAATAACCGAGTGTGAGGTCCTTACGGAGAAATGTCGGACTGAATTTATTTGTACTTACCGAGACCCTAAGGGAGAGGTTTGTGATAAAAACAGAGGTCCAAGATTTCTCATTAAAGACCGAGCAGGCAAGGTTAATAAAAACTCAATTAGCTATATGGTATTATTTGACCTGAGACAAAGCTTTCTTTTCTTTTTCCATTCTTCCTGATTTGCAAGGACTGGCTTTCACTCCTGTAGATTTTGTTAGTAGAAAATATATAGTTTGAAATTGTCTCACTTAGATAATGAAACCCATTTTTCGAGTGTTCTTTTTTGACTTAAATTCATACCATGGTTTTTTTTGTTTTTATTTTCGTTTTACAAAACATTTGCTGTTTGCTTCATGAAGTTTTGGTAAAACACAAGACAATAGACACTCCGTGTATAGTAAACATTATTTAATATAGATAAACATTATTTAATCCAGATAAATAATGTTTACTATATACGGAGTGTCTATTGTCATGTGTTTTACCAAAATATTCTTTGGCAGTCGTAATTCATGAAGTTGGTTTATCTACATTTATTTGTAAAACTACGCCTAATGAAAGCTGATTCGTTACGTGAAAGTAAATACTGCCCTCTCAATCTTACCAATTGTATGGTATTTAATTACTTGAAATAGAAATACACAGCTTGTGTGGATAATGCTTTTTAAAATATTCGTAGAAATCACAAGTGGTGATGATGATAATGCTACAGATGTCGGACTTTCTCCTGGTGTTGAAAATACAAAACAAGGTATGCCTTTCAATTCTATTTTATTTTATATATATTGCATAAACTTAGCATATTTTTTTGTATTGTATCACAATTCAAGTCATTTGATTGGTATTTATGTGTTTTTATGAAGATTTATATTATTTAATAATAAGCGTGATATACGTATACAGTATTGCACTTTCGGACTGTGCAAACGTTCGTTTATTACTTATGCTCAATTCTCTATGAACGAGTTAAATTTTCCTTTTGCGAACGGCAAATAATTTAAATGTACTGTGTACCAGACGGCAGTGCTCAGCAAAACTTGACAAGTCTTTGTTTATCTCAATAAATGCTGCGTAGCAGCAAAGTGGCGCAACTCTTTTTATAAAGTGCTCTGATTGACTACACTTCATAAGTTGCATTAAAGAAAAAGGATTATATTAAATAGACTAAAATCTTTTAAAACCAATCTTGACATAATGTTCACCATACAGATCAGACCCTGCATTTTAGAAGTGCTCAGATTAGACCATCTGTTTTTAAAGTGCTCGTGTTTGATTACATTAATTACTATTTTCTTTATTTGAGTACAGGTGATTAGTCAGAGTATAACTTTATTTCCAGATAGAAATTATGTTTTTTGCTCCTGGCTTACAGCATCGAAAGTTTTGAAACAATTAAAAAAACATCACCAAGTCCAAGTTATAATAAAAGTTTTCTTCAAATGTAGTCTTCAATGAACCTTTTACATTAACAAATGTTATGAAACATGTGAGTTTTTTTCATTTCATGTCTAAGCAACACTGAGTGGTAACATTTGCAGCTGGTTTAATCTGTTTTAACCATTGCAGTAAAATCTTGTCACTTTAAAAATTGTACTTGAAGCACATTATCAGTCTGTTGAAATTAAAATTAAACATGAGGTGATAATCACAACATCAGTCTGATAATGAATTTGTAACAAAATTGCACCACCATGCCTACATTTCCTAGCTAATGACATTGAAAATCGTGTTTATTGTAAGTAAAATACCGCACAATCATATGGATAATGTGCCATTTCGACGATAAAAAGAAGGCTGTTAACAATTTTCATTATGACAAATGTAACACAAAATTACATTTATCAAACGATCTTCCAATGTCTAAATTTACAGAAAACTTTAAATTCTTCCTTGGTTGTAAGAAGGATTGTAAAAATTCAAATATAAAAAAAATGTTTCTTCATGTGAAAATTCAGTGACGGATTGTCAGCGCGATAATTAGGGGGTGGTGTCAAATATTCATCTAATGTTTTCTGAATTAATTACTTATGGAGTCTTTTTTTCTGTTAATTATAGCATACATATATGTATTTGAATATTGCCAACCTTCATATATCTTACTAGCGGTTAATCAAATCAATATTGATATATAATAAACAATAACTATACTGAGTTGTGTATGCAAACCTACATGTGTACCAAAATTTCAAATAGTAAAATAGAGGCTTTGTCATGGTGACAAATCTGAAAATAGTTCTAAAGGTAGCAAATACCATATTGAATGGTAAAAGTAATATAATAAGTTCATAGTTCTTAAAAGAACTGTTTTATATAAAGAGCACTAACCTAATAGTTCTAAACGAAACAACACGATGCATTTCGGCAGACTACTCCTCAGGTTTCAACGTCTGCAAAATGAAAATTTACAATCTACTGATATTTATAATGCCAAGAAAGAGTGTACATCATCTTCTTGGCAATTTAAATATCAGTAGATTGTAAATTTTCATTTAGCAGAAGTAGACACTTGAGGAGTAGTCTGCCGAAATGCATCGTTTCGTTTAGTTTAGAACTATCGGGTTAGTGCTCTTCACTTAAAACAGTTATTTTAAGAACTATCAACTTTTTATATTACTTTTACCATTCACTATGGTATTTGATATCTTTGTAACTATTTTCTAATTTCAAATAATTAAATATTTAAATTTTGACTTAATTGTGTATCGATGAAAATGCAAAACATACGTTAAGAAGCTTTATTAAGTGAATGTCTTGTTCTATACGATACAATGTTGATATATTAGTTGTTAGATTCTTAATTCTTTGTTTTCAAGTAATAAAGTTATCCTAACATCAAACCTTCTGTTTCATTTGAGCCCTTGTCAAGTTAGTAAACTTCTGAAAACATTAAAATGGGATTGAGTTGAAGAATATAAATACATAACATTTTTAGGTACAAAGGAGGCGTCCTGTAAAGTGGAAAAACTGGTCACTTCTGGTGGTGGCAATTTAACAATGGAGTATGTTATTTTTGAACTTGGACCTGGTTGTTTAGAAGACAATACAATGATAAAGTTGGTCGAGGTTAACAATCCAAGCTACATCAAAAGCTTGCTAGACTTGGAACTTCTTCAAAGTAGCATATGCCATCTGCATTGTCTTCCCAACGGCCTACATTTCTTAAAACCTGCTCAATTGCAAATTAACATCAATGGGGAGAGAGGATTCTCAGAAATAGCTTTGGAAAAGATTGTTGCTCTTTATGGATCCTATTCGAATGATAAGCAAAAAATGGAATGGCAACAGGTGGAAGACATTGATTTGAATGAATCAAGAATTTTGTTAAACATTTCAAAGTTTTCTTGGTACAGTTTCATTGAAGCTTCTCTTTCACTTATTCCTCGTATTTTATGTCATCTCAACCATTTTTTTCAAGCTTATGCCTATGTACTCCATCGAAGATCATCAGAAACGGGAACATTAGACATTAAAGTTGTCTTTGTCAGCTCTTTCGTGCGCGAAAAGTTAGGAGATTCTCCAATGATAAACTTGGCCAAAGATTGGGAAGACTTCCACGGAAATAATAACAATGAAGATATCATTGATATCAACACTGATCGAAATCATGAAATACAGCTTAATTTTCAGGGAAAGGAGCTTGATTCATACACTTTTGAAATAGATATTTCAAAGCTTGATAACGGTGGTTTTGTTGTTCATCACTTTAAAAGAATTCAAGTAAATTTTCCTGCTAAAGGACAATTGGAGGTGAAAGAAAGTGGAAACAAGAATTCGAAGTGGAAGCTGAATGTCGACGAAGAAAACTCACAGGGAGCCGTGATAAATAAAGGTAAGAACTTGTCTTGTATAGTTCTTTTCTTCCCAATGAACCTAACAAACCTGAGGTAATTATAAGGATAGTAATGATGTACAAGAAGGTTAAACGAAAAGGAATGAAAGTCGTATTTCCATGAACCATAAGCTTCTGCGCTTGATGTTTAATACATCCTCGTAGATGAGCATGAGGGAGGACATATTAAACAAAGGGCAATTTCTTCTCGTCCTGTTAAATGTTCTAAACCCTGAAAGCCTTTTCTTGTATTCTTTGTCAATTAATACATTTGTTTTGTAATGTATCGTAATTGATGCCATTTGATTGGTATATATGGGTTTTTGTGAAGATTTGTATTATTTAATAAAATGCATGATGTACGTATACAGTGTTGCACTTTCGGATTCCAAACGTTCGTTTATTACGTATGTTCAATACTGTATCAATGACTTGAATTTTCCTTTTGCGAACGACAATTAATTTGAATGTACTGTGTACCAGACGGCAGTGCTCAGCACAACTTGACAAGTCTTTGTTGATCGCAATAAATACTGGGTAGCAGGAAAGTGGCGCAACTCTTTTTATAAGGAGCTCAAATTGACTAAATTTCATAAGTTCCATTAAAGAAAAAGGATTATAATAGACTAAAACATTTAAAACAAATCTTGACATAATGTACACCATACAGATCAGACTTTGCATTTTAGAAGTGCTCAGGTTAGACCATCTGTTTTAAAAGTGCTCGTGTTTGATGCGTTAATTACTATTTTCTTTGTTAGAGTACAGGAGATTAGTCGGAGTATAACTTTATTTCCAGATAGAAATTTAAGTTTTTTCTTCTGGCTTACAGCATCGAAAGTGTTAAAACAATTAAAAAAACATCACCAAGTCCAAGTTCTATTAAAAATTTTCTTCAAATACAGTCTTCATTTAACCTTTTACATTAACAAATTATGAGATGTATAAATTATTTTTCAACACATTTCTAAGCAACACTGAATGGTAACATTTGCGGCAGGCTTAATATTTTTTACCATGACAGTAAAATCTTGTCACTTCATAATTTGTACTTAAAGAACATTATCAGTAAGTTGAAATTAAGATGAGACATGAGGTGATAATGACATCATGCAATCTATTTTTTAAAGTAACGTTTATTTGTATTCTGCTTGTTTAATCATAAAAACTTCTCAACAAACTATCCTTTGGATATACTGTCATACTTCACGTTTGCACCACCATGCAAACACTACCTAGCTAATGACATTAAAAATCATGCAAAGAACGGCCACCATCAAATCGACTTGCTCAATAAACTTCAATGAATAAGAATTCCTGTTCATTGTAAGTAAATTACCTCAAAATCCTATAGAAAATGAGCCAATTTGACGATGTGAGTTCTCAAAGTTCTAAAATAAAAAGAAGGCGATTTATAATTTTCATTATGGCAAATGTAGCATTAAATTGCACATTTATTAAACAATCTTCTAAATTCTAAATTTACAGAAAATTACAAGTTTTTTTGAGCTCTCTCTTTGCTAAGTGTACTGGAGATTACCTCTTCAGTGTGTACATCATTCAAAAGTCCACAAAGATCATTTTCTAGCTTAAAATTAAATTTTTAATACTTTATTAAGAATTGCATTTTGAAAGTTGCATAGAGCATAAAAGGTGCTGTACATTTTTTTCTACTAAAAAATTTCCCAAAATAGATAATCAAATAACGTTACTAATCGCAAAATATAAAAACAACGACTTCATTCATTGATTTCAATAAATTACTCCCATTGATTTCAAAATAAATAAATATGAATTTTTGGACTATATTAGAAGAGCGAGTTCATCCAAAAATCTCATTTATGATTCAAACTGTGTCTTAATTGATGATTGTTAACTGGTTTAATAACCTTCATTAAAAACTGCGCGTGAATCAGACCAAGCTACTTACGACATAAGCCACCGATTGAGCAAGAATATCGCTGCTTCTGAATATCGCTTACAGAACTCAATGGCTGTATCATATTTTCTCATATATTGTAGCATAGACCACTGTATAGAGGACTAAAAAAAGAACGTTTGGGGGAGAGGATAATTAATAACGCTGCTGATGAAATATCACTTACAGAACTCAATGGCTGTATCACATTTTCTCACATATAGTTGCACGGACCACTTTATAGAGGGCCGAAACTAGAACGTTTGGTGGGGTGGGGAGGGGGTGTTTTTATATATCCAGTTGTGGTCGACTGATTTCTTGTGAAGCCAACGTAGTCTACATTAAACATAATTCAAATAGACAAATAGATCAATAAATTAGCAGGCACATGCATAGATATAAAATTGATATGAAAATTTTTTAGGAGAAAGCATATAAATGATTTTAGAGTTAAAGCATAAAATGCGTATGAAACGAAAATTTAGCAATCTGTGTTATACTTTTTTGAACACACAATTTATTATAATAAGGAACTTAGGTAGTAGTTTATGCATATCACTTTTCATTCTCGAAATATTGAAGTTTTTATTATATCCGATATATCTGATGTCACACTGGATAATGAGAACTAGATGTATTAGAAAATAATTAAAACGCAGTTGGGATTCATATTTAAATTAATCAACCAAAAGAATAATTTAAAAATCTACCTATAAACTAAAAACATATACATAAAACCCGCTCTAAAGAACAGTGAGATGGAAACAAAATATTTTAATCAAACAAACATTGCTTCAACATTAATCATAATAAATACTGTTTACTTTATACAAAGTGTCTATTGTCTTTTATTTTACCAAAATACTCTTGGCAGTCATAATTCACGAAGTATGCTTATCTACATTTATTTGTAAAATTACGCCTGATGAAAGCTGGTTCATTACGTGAAAATATATACTGCCCTCTCAATATTTCTAATTGTAAGGTCATTTTATTACTTGAAAATGTCAGTCATGTAAAACAGTGCGTAATATATGTATATGACATTTTGGAGCTAATGGGTGAAACGAAATGAATTGATAATTGATATAATGAATTGATACTAAAAACGAAATTATATTTGTCTTATTTCTTTTCAAGCGCTAGCTGTAAATTCATTTTTCTACTTGTTGTCAAAATTGAAATACGCAGCTTGTGTGGATAACGCTTTTTAAAATATTGTTCGTAGAAATCACAAGTGGTGATGATGTTAATGCTAAAGATGTCGGAACTTCTCCTGGTGTTGAAAATACAAAACAAGGTATGCCTTTCAATTCTAATTTATTTTATATATATTGCGTAAACTAAGCATATTTGTTTGGTATTATATTACAATTCAAGTCATTTGATTGGTATTTATGGGTTTTTATGAAGATTTATATTATTAAATAATATGCATGATGTACGTATACATGTTTGTAAATGTAGATCGTCCAGGTTGGTATAGTCTTGAGAAGGACTGTTTTTGTTGTTGTTGACTAACGTTTCGACAACCTTAGCGGTAGTCATCTTCAGAGTCAAATGAGGAGTAAACGTCAGATTAGCTGTATTTGTTGTCTGGTTCTTACGTCATGGTATTGAGTGTACAGGAAAAGTGTATTGTCATTGTGAATTAGTGTGAAGTAAAATATTTTTGTTTTTAGTTGTAATGTGTGGGTGTCAATTGTGTATGGTCATTGTTAATTAGTGTGAAGTGTAATGTTTTTAGTTGATCGATTGTTTGTATTGTGAATAAGTCGTTTTTAAGGTGCCGGTAATTGCTGTGATCTGCTCAGGTGGGTTTGTTCCAAGTTGGTATACCAACTTTCTAATGTAAGCTGTTGTCTATAGTCAGTACTGTAAGTAATGCATTTTGCTGAGTCCCAATCAATGTTGTGCTTTGTGATTCGGTGATGTTCGGCAATGTGATAAGTTTTGTCTTGTTTCTTAGCAGCTCGTTTGTGTTCAGTAAGTCTTAGGTTTAAGTTCCTGCCAGTTTCCCCGATATAGGAGGCGTGGCAGTCCAGAATTTTTTTGTTTTGTAAACTGCACCTTGTCGTTCGTTGGGTTGTTCTTTGTCCTTTATGTTCGTTAGTACTTGTCGTAACGTTATGATTGGTTTTATGTGCGACACGTATGTTGTTTGGTTGTAAGATACGCGAGATAGTCTCAGACGTACGTTTGATGTAAGGTATCGTTGCTGTTGTCACTGAGTTGTTCGTTTCGTTGGGTTCGCTGGGTTTGTAAGTGTTGCATTTGATAAATTCAGTTTTATAGCTGTTTTTGTCAAAAAGTCGTTTCGTTGTTTTCGTTGTGTAGAGCGTCTGGTGAATCACAAATGATTTGTGTACGTCTTGTTAATGTTCTGATTGTGGTGGCTTTGTGTGGAGTAGGGTTGTAAGATGATTGGTCTAGTAGTCGGTCAGTATGTGTTGGCTTGCGATAAACTGTTGTTCGTAGTTCTTGATTGTCATGTATTACCAAACAGTCGAGAAAAGGAAGAGTTCCGTTTTCTTCGACATCTTTGGTAAATTGTATGTGGCTGTTCTGTTTGTTGATGTGAGTGTGAAAGTCATCAATCTCGTCTGAATGTAGTGCTGTGATTGTGTCATATACGTAGCAAAACCAAAAAGGTAGTGCATGTTTGTAAGTCGTGAGCGCCCGTTCCTCTATAGATTGCAATACAATTTCAGCAACTACAACAGAAACGGGTGAGCCCATTGCTGTTCCATGTAATTGTTTGTATTGTGTACATTTGTACTGGAAGTACGTCGAGGTGAGGCAGAGCTCCAGTAGCTGCATAATGTCTTCTGTCGGTAATGGCAGTGCGTCCATTGTGTTTGTAATGAGGGTTTTTGTACAAGCAAGTGCCAGATTAAGTGGAATACTGGTGAACAGTGATTTCACATCAAAAGACATTAGTATATAGTTGTCCGGTATTTGTATGGTGCTCAGTTTTTTAATGAAAGTTTCAGTGGATTGTAGCTTGTGTTTTGATTTGTTTGTAAGTGGTTGCAGTATGTCAGTCAAGTACTTTAAAAGTTCGTAAGAAAGCGAACCACAGAATGATACAATTGGTCGCATGGGTATTTGTGGTTTGTAAAGTTTTGGTAGTACGTATAGTCTGGTTAGTCGTGGTACTGAACATCTGAGTCGATAGTAAATACGTTCAGATATAATGTTAGATTTTCTCATAGAGAAGATCTTGCTGTTAAGTTTGCGTAAAAGTGTTGGGTCTCGTTTGAGTTGTTCGAACGTTTGTCTGTCGTTAACAAGGGTGTCCATTTTGTTGAAGTAATCATTCCTGTCCATGACCACAGTCACGCGTCCTTTGTCTGCTGGTAAAATGACGATGTTGTTGTCGTGTTTTAGTCGTTTGAATGCTTGTTGTTCGTCCTTTGTCAAGTTGTTGTCACGTATAGAGGACAGTGCAGAGTACAAAATAAAGTACAGGGTGTACAGTACAAGGTGCAGTTTACAAAATAAACTGCTCCGACTGCCACGCCTCCTACATCGGGGAAACTGGCAAGAACTTAAACATAAGACTTACTGAACGCAAACGAGCTACTAAGATACAAGACAAAACTAATCACATTGCCGAGCATCTCCGAATCACAAAGCACAACATTGACTGGGACTCGGCAAAATGCATTACTTACAGTACTGACTATAGATAACGGCTTACATTAGAAATTTGGTGTACCAACTTGGAACAAACCCCCCTGAACAGATCACAACAATTACCGGCACCATACAAACGACTTATTCACAATACATATAAACGATCAACTAAAAACATTACACTTCACACGAATTCACAGTGACAATACACAATTGACACCCACACATTACAACTAAAAACATCACACCTAAATCACACATCACAACTAAAACTATTTCACTTCACACTAATTCACAATGACAATACACATTTCCTGTACACACAATACAATGACGTAAGAACCAGACAACAAATGCGGCTAATGTGACGATTACTCCTCATTTGACTCTGAAGATGACTACCGCAAAGGTTGTCAAAACGTCAGTCAACATTTAAAAACATGTAACGATACTCCCAGGCTCAAACCATTTACTTTAGTACGTAAACAGTGTCGCACTTTCGGAATCCTAACGTTCGTTTATTACGTATGTTCAATACTGTATTAATGACTTAAATTTTGCTTTTGCGAACGACAAATAATTTTAATGTACTGTGTACCAGACAGCAGTGCTCAGCACAACTTGACAAGTCTTTGTTTATTTAAATTAATACTGCGTGGCAGCAAAATGGGGAAACTCTTTTTATAAAGTGCGCAAAAATTGACTAAATTTCATAATTTCCATTAAAGAAAAAGGATTATAATAAATAGATTAAAACCTTTTAAAACAAATCTTGACATAATGTACACCATACAAGTGGACCCTGCATTTTAGAAGTGTTCAGGTTTAAAAGTGTTTTAACTGTTTTAAAAGTGCAGTGTTTGATTACGTTAATTACTATTTTCTTTGTTGGAGTACAGGAGATTAGTCGGAGTATAACTTTTTCCAGATAGAAATTAATTTTTTTTGCTACTGGTTTACAGCATCGAAAGTGTTGAAACATTTAAAAAAAACATCACCAAATCCAAGTTCTAATAAACAATTTACTACAAATGCAGTCTTTAATCAACCTTTACATTAACAAATGTTAGGAGATGTATGAGTTTTTTTCATCACATGCCTAAGCAACACTGAATGGTAACATTTGCGGCAAGTTTAATCTGTTTTAACCATTTTGACATCTTAGCAAATTTTACTCGAAGCACATTATAAGTAAGTTGAAATTAAGATGAGAAATGAGGTGATAATGACATCATGCAATCTGTTTTTTCAAAGCAACGTTTTTTTGTATTCTGCTTGTTTAATCATAAAAACTTCTCAACAAACTATCCTTTTGTTATACTGTCATACTTCGCGTGTGCACCATTATGCATTAAAAATCATGCAAAAAACGGCCACCATCGAATCGACTTGCTCAATAAACTTCATATAATATATTAATCCTAACACGGTTTCAATATGCACATGACTTGGACGGGAGTTGAACTTACACCTTCGGTATATTAGTCCGCCCCTCTACTTGTTGAGCTACCAAGCCCACATGGATTGGAGACGAGTCAAATTTCTTAAAACTGTAAACTCTAAACAATAAACTCCAGTGAATAAGAATTCCTGTTCATTGTAAGTAAAATACCTCAAAATCATATAGAAAATGAACCAATTTGACGATGTGAATTCTCAAAGTTCCACAATAAAAAGAAAGCTATTTACAATTTTCATTATGGCAAATGTAGCATTAAATTGCACATTTATTAAACGATCTTCTAAATTCAAAATTTACAGAAAATTACATATTATTTTGAGCTTTCGCTTTGCTAAGTATACTGGAGTTTACCTCTTCAGTGTGTACATCATTCAAAAGTCCACAAAGATCATTTTCTAGCTTAGAATTAAATTTTTAACACTTTATTAAGAATTGCATTTTGAAAGTTGCATCGAGCATAAAAGTTGCTATATCAGTTTTTTCTACTGGAAAATTTCTCAAAATAAATAAGCAAATAACGTTAATAATAGAAAATTTAAAATCAACGACTTCATTAATTGATTTCAATAAATTACACCCATTGATTTCAAAATAAATAAATATGATTATTTGGACTACATTAGAAGAGCAAGTTCATCCAAAATCCTCATTTATGATTTAAACTGTGTCTTAATTGATGATTGTATAACTGCTTTAATAATCTTCATTAAAAACTGCGCGTGAATCAGACCAAACTACTTACGACTTGAGCCATCCGATTGAGTTAGAATAATGCTGCTGATGGAATATCGATTACCGAACTCAATGGCTGTATCATATTTTCTAAGCTGTTGTAGCATGGACAACTGTATATGGGATTAAAATAAGAACGTTTAGTGGGGTTGGGGAAGGGGGTAATTAATAACGCTGCTGATGAAATATTGCTTACAGAACTCATGACTGTATCACATTTTCTCAGATATTGTAGTACGGACCACTTTATTGAGTACAGAAACTATGACTTTTAGTGGGATAGGGGAGGGGGTCTTTTATTACGCTAATGCTGAAATATTGCTTACAGAATTCAGTGGCTGTATCATATTTTCTCAGATATTGCAGCACGGACCAATTTATAGAGGGCCGGAACTAGAAAGTTTGGTGGGGGGGATGAGGGGGTGCTTTTATATATCGAGTTGTGGTCGACTGATTTCTTGTAAAGCCAACGTAGTCTACATTAAACATAATTCAAATAGACAAATAAATCAATAAATCAACAGGCAGATGCATCGACATAAAATTGATATGAAAATTTTTTAGGTAGAAGCATATAAATGATTTTAGAGTTAAAGCACAAAATGCCTATGAAACGAAAATTTGGCAACCTGTGTTATACTCTATTTAACAGAAATTTTAATATGACAATGGACTTTCTGTAGTAGTTTATGCATATCACTTTTCATTCTCGAAATACTGAAGTTTTTATTATGTCCGATTTATCTGATGTCACACTTGCCTTACCATATCATAGTTGTGTGGATAACGCTTTTTAAAATATTGTTAACAGAACTCACAAGTGGTGATGATGCTAAAGCTAAAGATGTCGGAAATTCTCCTGGTGTTGAAAATACAAAACAGGGTATGCCTTTCAATTCTAATTCATTTTATATATATTGCATAAACTAAGCATATTTGTTTTGTATTGTATCACAATTCAAGTCATTTGATGTGTTTTTATGAAAATTTATATTATTTAATTATATACATGATGTACGTATACAGTGTTGCACTTTCGGACTCCAAACGTTCGTTTATTACGTATGTTCAATACTGAATCAACGACTTAAATTTTCCTTTTACGAACGACGAATAATTTTGATGTACTGTGTACCAGACGGCAGTGCTCAGCACAACTTGGTAAGTCTTTGTTTATATCAATAAATACTGCGTAGCAGCAAAGTGGGGCAACTCTTTTTATAAAGTGCTCAAATTGACTACATTTCATAAGTTCCATTGAAGAAAAAGGGTTATAATAAATAGACTAAAACCTTTTAAAACCTATCTTGACATAATGTACGCCATACATATCAGACCTTGCATTTTGGAAGTGTTCAGGTTAGACCGACTGTTTTAAAAATGATCGTGTTTGATTAGGTTAATTACTATTTTCTTTGTTAGATAACAGGAAATTAGTCGTAGTATAACTTTTTTCCAGATACAAATTAATTCTTTTTGCTTCTGGCTTACAGCATCGAAAGTACTGAAACAATTAAAAAACATCATCATATCCAAGTTCTAATAAAACTTTACTTCAAATACAGTCTTTAATCAAACTTTACATTAACAAATGTTATGATATATATGAGTTTTTTCATCACATGCCTAAGCAACACTGAATGGTAACATTTTCAGAAAGTTTAATCAGTTTTAACCATTTTGTCATCTTAACAAATTTTACTGGAAGCACGTTATCAGTCAGTTGAAAGTAAGATGAGACATGAGGTGATAATGACATCATGCAATTTATTTTTTCAAAGTAACTTTTATTTGTATTCTGCTTGTTTAATCATCAAAAATTCTCAACAAACTATCTTTTGGATATACTGTCATACTTCGCGTGTGCACCATTATGCATTAAAAATCATGCAAAAAACGGCCACCATCGAATCGACTTGCTCAATAAACTTCATATAATATATTTATCGTAACACGGTTTCAATATGCACATGACTTGGACGGGAGTTGAACTCCCACTTTCGAGATAGTAGTCCGCCGCTTTACCTGTTGAGCTACCAATCCCACAGGGATTGGGGACGAGTCAAATCTCTTAAGACTGTAAACTCTAAACAATAAACTTTAATGAATAAGAATTCCTGTTCATTGTAAGTAAAATACCTCAAAATTATATAGAAAATGAACCAATTTGACGATGTGAGTTCTCAAAGTTCTAAAATAAAAAGAAGGCGATTTATAATTTTCATTATGGCAAATGTAGCATTAAATTGCACATTTATTAAACAATCTTCTAAATTCTAAATTTACAGAAAATTACAAGTTTTTTTGAGCTCTCTCTTTGCTAAGTGTACTGGAGATTACCTCTTCAGTGTGTACATCATTCAAAAGTCCACAAAGATCATTTCCTAGCTTAAAATTAAATTTTTAATACTTTATTAAGAATTGCATTTTGAAAGTTGCATAGAGCATAAAAGGTGCTGTACATTTTTTTCTACTAAAAAGTTTCCCAAAATAGATAATCAAATAACGTTACTAATCGCAAAATATAAAAACAACGACTTCATTCATTGATTTCAATAAATTACTCCCATTGATTTCAAAATAAATAAATATGAATTTTTGGACTATATTAGAAGAGCGAGTTCATCCAAAAATCTCATTTATGATTCAAACTGTGTCTTAATTGATGATTGTTAACTGGTTTAATAACCTTCATTAAAAACTGCGCGTGAATCAGACCAAGCTACTTACGACATAAGCCACCGATTGAGCAAGAATAACGCTGCTTCTGAATATCGCTTACAGAACTCAATAGCTGTATCATATTTTTTCATATATTGTAGCATAGACCACTGTATAGAGGACTAAAAAAAGAACGTTTAGGGGGGGAGAGGATAATTAATAACGCTGCTGATGAAATATCACTTACAGAACTCAATGGCTGTATCACATTTTCTCAGATATTGTTGAACGGACCACTTTATAGAGGGCCGAAACTAGAAATTTTGGTGGGGTGTGAAAGGGGGTGTTTTTATATATCCAGTTGTGGTCGACTGATTTCTTGTGAAGCCAACGTAGTCTATATTAAACATAATTCAAATAGACAAATAGATCAATAAATTGACAGGCAGATGCATAGATATAAAATTGATATGAAAATTTTTTAGGAGAAAGCATGTAAAAGATTTTAAAGTTAGGGCATAAAATACCTATGAAACGAAAATTTAGCAATCTGTGTTATACTTTTATTAAACAGACATTTTAACATGATGATGGCTTCTGTAGTAATTTATGCATATCACTTTTCATTCTTGAGATATTGAAGTTTTTATTATGTCCTATTTATCTGATGTAACACTGGATAATGAGAACTAGATGAATTAGATAAATTTGCTGATGCATTATTTTCACATGGCGGAGTTTCTTTCTTTGTGATGTGTTAAGGATATAAAATATTGCTTACCATTATGAACCTAAAGTTGTCAGGAAAATGAAGGGTATTTCAAAGATTGCAGCAACTCATTTTGCATGCAATATGATGTCATAAGTTAACTTAATAAGTAATTGCAAGAAGTTCAATATTTTTAGAATGAATAAAGTCAAGCAGAAAAGATTTTAGAAAGCACTCTGTCATTTCAAAAGTTCTGGTCAATACAGATATAATTTAACTAGCAAGATTTTTGTTTTATTGCCACTTTAAGATGTCCAAACAAGGTTTGAGAGAATAAATGTAGAAATCGAACTTCAATGGTAATGTTTGGCAACAAACATAAGATAGTCTTTCTAAAAGACGGGAATAGAAGGAAAAATGGAACGAAGTTATTTTGTTATGTTTTGGTATAAAAAATTTTTTAGACTCTAAAAAATATATGCTCTTAAAATTCTAATTTAATATTTTCGGAAAACACAAGGTTACTCCTTAACAAAAATTCATGACTATACTGAAGAGAGAAGTTTTTGTGATTAATTGTTTGGTAAAAGCTAACCTCGAATGCTACCAGATGAAAAAATTATGATATGTCTAATAATTGTTGATACGTTTTTAAAAGTGTACGGTATCAGTACCTTTCACAATTGGAGAGGTTTTAGCTGTTTTAATATATTTATTTTGTTTCTTTAACCCCTGAATGTTATATTCTTATCTAGAAGAGTGGAAATACGTTGATGAATCAACGAAACATAGACAACTGCTTTTAAAATTGATTGAATATGGACGCAATCCCAGTGTTGAGGTTAACGTGGAGGGCAATGTACGTGTAATATTCTCAGAAGAATTTTGCATTGGCGAAGGAAGTGATGCAACCCGTGTTTATCTTGGACTGGGTAAGGATGGTTACGGTAAAGCAGTGAAACGAATACATCGATATAAATTTATCCAGCTTGCACATCATGAAAAGGAAATTTTAAATAAATTCAATGCAAAGAAGTCAAAATATGTGGTGAATTATTTCTACTTAGAAGAAGATACTGGAACAGAATATGTTTATTTGATATTAGACTTATGTGAAGAATCATTGGAGAGTTTTGTCAAGTCTTCTACTTTGCATGATCTTCAAAAAGCTCTTCCTGATATTCTTAGACAAATTTTAAAAGGATTAGCTGATCTTCATAGCGGCCCAAATCCTATTCTACATCGGGATTTGAAGCCTTCCAATGTTCTGCGAGACTCAAAAAGCAAATTTCTGATAGCTGACTTTGGCATAAGTCGAATAATGAAGAATGACTCTACAACATATAAAAGCAATACTTCCATGGGAACTGTGCATTGGATAGCTCCTGAATCATATTGCGAAGATGATGATACAGTAAATAAAGCGCGTTACAAAAGAAGGTCTGATGTATATGTAAGTGTAGGAATGTAAACATTTGTAAGTTGTAAAGAAACTCAATGTTGTGAAATTGCATTTTGATGTAACGCTTTTTATTATTTTAGAATGCAGGGATGGTAGCTTATTATGTTGCAACAAAAGGAAAACATCCTTTTGGAACCAAACCCTACAGACTGATGAACATGTTAAATGGAAACCCTGTTGGTTTGGATGAAATCGAGGATGAAACACTAAAGGACCTTCTGTCGTGGATGTTAAATCTAAAACCTGAAGACAGACCATATTCTAACGAAGCATTAAAACACCCATTTCTTATGTCAGATGATGAGAAGTTTGAAATGTTAAGTAAAGTTGGGAATCTTCAGCAGATTAAGTCCAATGATCCCCAGTCAAGTGTCGTTCAAAAATTGAATAGCGAATCCGTACATTGGAAAAGTCAAATGGATTGTGATGTTTATGATTGTTTGGTGAATGGAAGGCCCTATAGATCTTCATGGACAGAATGCTTAAGACTTATTCGAAATGTTCACCAGCATTGGAACGATCGACCACGACCTCTACCACAACCAGAACCGTTTTATAAGATTGGCGATTACAGGGCGTATTTTCTCCGAACATTTCCTAATCTCCCTGTTCGGGTATATGCTGCTGTCAGGTCAGATGAAGAATTGAAAAACAAACAAGAACTCAAGAATTTTTTAAATTTTAATGAAAGCGAACTACATCAATAAACAATTTAGATACAACAGAACATGTTGGGGGTGAAAAAGTAGCTATTAAGAAATCGTTGATACTGTAGAAATCTTCTTTTATAAATTTAAAAAAAACCAGTTTCCACGACGTATTTAGATGATATTTCACCCATTTCTGGTGTATCTATAGCCTGTGGTATTCATTTATACAATGTAATATACCTGATTATTTAATTTTTATTATAAATTGTTTTGGAAAAGACTGAAGGCGAATATGACATTAAAGTTAACTTTTATATTTGGCTTCACTGATAAATTTTGCACTACATTCATCCAACATAATAAACTTGTATACGATAAAAAATTGGTTTCTGAAATTATTATTATTACTAAAAGTCTTGCCTTTGTGTTTTGGGCTCTTGGGAGTTCCTTATCGTATAAACCTGACCATCAGAAGTTGTGCATTATTCCATAAGTAGAATTTTTTGTGTTTAACTATCTCACATTAATTACTTAGCTGATTAAAATATAAATTAGTTGAATTAAATAACATTTTCATGAGATTGAGTGATTGACAGCATTTCGTCTAATAATTTGTATATGGAATCAATAATATTTTATTTAGTTTTATAGAAAAATATTCATAGTTGTAATCGTTTTCTGATATTTTGCTTATTTCATGCGCTGTAACCATGACAATTATTTCGTGCCTAACTCCATACAACTAAAGTGCAAGTGCTATGTATTTAAGATTTCTTAAATGAATATTGAATATACACCTAAATACACGTAAGGTTAACTACGGCGCTCTCTATTGCCTATATTCTAGAAACTCTCTCACACTCACATTTACTGAGTAAAGTTTTAAAATAATCTTATAACTGCTAGAAGACATTGTATTTATTCCACAGATAGAAAATAGTGCAAAGTTATGTTGATTTTACCATCTCAGATCCCATATCATCTGGTAGGTATACGCACATTTATGTCACATGAAAGCACTCAGTATTAGTTGTGCGACAGTTTTAGTTGAAAGTTTTGTAAATCATTTATATAAATTTTGAGCTTTTGGGCTTTTTTTATTTTATTGATTAAACTTTGCAAAGAGCATACTATAACAACAAAAGAACGTGAATAACTTCTAAATGACAAAGAACAATGCTACAGCTTTCTCCAGTTACTGCAGCCTTTTAAACACTACGTTGCAAACATTAAAAACAACACGATTTATATAATGTATAATAAGTGCGAAAGATTTTTCTTGAATTGATGAAAGCTGACATTTTGCCTCTCAAGTTGTTTGGATTTATTCTAGATTGTACAGCATCTATTTATTTAAGATTTTAGAAACGTTCTTATTTTACAATGAGTTGTAACATATAAAAGCTAGATTTTCTGGATTGTACAACCGTGTTTGACTTTGGCAGAGAGGATTGGCTTGTAATAGTAACTAATCTTCATTAATATTCACAAGACTATAAATTATTTTGTATTCGTTTACAAAATTGCTGTTTGATGGTATAAAATGCTCCCTATTTCTATTAACCTAAAGTTCTCAGGAAAATGAAGATTATTTGAAACATTTTTAGAACTCATTATGCAATATGACGTCACAAGTTGTATGAAATAGAAATAACAAAAACTTCAATATCTCGTGAAGGAAAAGAGACATGTATGAAATGTTTTAGACAGTACACTGTCATTTCAAACGTTCTGGTCATTGCAAACATAAAAATTTTCATGTCATCGGCACTTTAAACGTCATAAGTAGTTGTACATTTCCAAATATAACATTGGGCTGAATAGTAAGGGATATTCTATACCACTTAGTAAATATGTATGCTTTATAACTTATGAAGCGGTAGATAAATCTGATAAACCACCTGCTGAAACTCACAATCCACCAGCTAGATGACCACCTTTCACTTGTGGGAAGCGAATGTAAATTATAATCCCATTTACCCCCTTGAACAGAATTCATTACGAAATTTAAATATACGTAAATGTAAATAAGTATGCCCATTATTTAAGGAGTCTTTGCATTAAGCCCCAGCAGTGTTGTGTAGAACCTCCTTAGGTTAGTATATAGAAGATATAATAAATATTTAATAAAACTTTTACAACAATTTACACAACACTCAGAATCTTGGTGCTCTCACTAGAGTCTAGTGACTAGACAATCCTACCAAGTGTCTTCCGCATCTTATGCTGTGATGGAGAGAGTTTTAAGACAACAACGTTTTGACACCAATCCTAACGCTCAAGACATTGCTAGATCGTGGTTGCACTGGTTTGCTACTTTCCAAAACTTTGTAGCTGCTATACCTAACGAAGAAGTGAACAAATTAAAGGTTCTAGTCAATTATGTTTCTGCCGACGTTTATCAACTTTTCTGTGAAGCGACAACCTACGAGGAAGCTATAGAATTGTTAAAAAACCTCTATGTTAAGGTTCATAATGAGATATTTTCGCGACATAAGTTAGCTACTCGTAAACAACAATCTGGCGAGAGCCTGGATGAGTATTTGCAAGAATTAAAATCGCTAAGCAAAGATTGTAATTTTCGTAGCGTGACATCAAATCAATATCGAGACGAAGCTGTACGAGACGCGTTTATAGCAGGTCTTCTTTCAACTAACATCCGCCAACGTCTTCTTGAGAATAAAACATTAGACATTCAGACAGCTTTTGATCAAGCCCGAGCCTTAGATACAGCACAGAGAACTTCTGAAACTTATGCAGACGGAATTCCAATAACAGCTGCTGCTCTATCAAACAAGGACGGGGGGAATTCGTTTATTAATCAACGGGCATTCGAAAACCAAGATAAAATTGATCAATCTGACGGACATCAAGAGAACAACGGCATAGAAAGGTACGTTGCCGCCTCTTCTAGATCATCGAAATGTTTCTTCTGCGGTAATCGACCCATCGCTTCGCATGCCCGGCTAAAGACGCTTATTGTTATAAATGTAAAAAGAAAGGACATTTCCAAAGAGTATGTAAATCGGTCGCTCCTCAGGCTTATATAGCATTAGCACCAACTAAACATACAGTAGCAAAGTCACTAAAGAAAGCCTGTATTGGTGTCTTGATTAATGGAAAATCTTGCGAAGCTCTAATTGATTCGGGAAGTACACATAATTTTATACATCCTAAAGTTGCAAGTAATCTGGGATTGAACGTTTATACAACTCAAGAGAAAGTAACAATGGCTGCATCCTTGTTTTCTTCTAAAATTCAAGGCTATTGTCTTGCCGATATTATACTTAAAGAGCGAGAGTATACGAAAGTAAAACTGTTTGTCTTAGCAAATTTATGTACGAACGTGATATTAGGACAAAATTGGCAGGAAAAACATGAAAACATAATTATTGAGTATGGGGGAAAATCGCCCTCTTTAACGATATGTGGTTTATCAACTATAAATATAGAGCCACCGCCGTTGTTTCAATTTTTGTCTGAAGATTGTAGACCGGTAGCTGCAAAATCACGAAGATACAGTGCCGAAGACAGAGCGTTCATCGCAATGGAAGTGTCGAAATTGATTGAAGAAGGGATTATTGAAGAAAGTGACTCTCCCTGGAGAGCCCAAGTCGTTGTAACCAGGAACGAAAGACAAAAGAAAAGACTAGTAATCGATTACTCTGAAACAATTAATAAGTTTACTCAGTTGGACGCTTATCCGATGCCAAGAATACAGTAAACGCAGTTGCCCAATATAGTGTCTTTAGCACTGTAGATCTTAAAAGTGCATACCATCAAGTACCTATCAAAAATAAAGAGAGAAAGTACACGGCTTTTGAAGCTAACAATCGACTTTATCAGTTCCGTAAAATCCTATTTGGTGTAACTAATGGAGCGGCGGCCTTTCAACGATCAATGGATACTTTCATATCCGAAGAAGCTTTAGAAGATACTTTCGCGTATTTAGACAATATTACTATATGCGGTTACAATCAGGAGCATCATGATAAAAATTTGGAACTTTTTATGAAAACAGCAAGGAAGCGTAACCTAACATTTAATGAAAGCAAGTGCGTTTTTTCGGTAACTTCAATTAGTATACTCGGAAGTGTTGTATCTCAAGGAGAGATTAAGCCAGATCCGGAGAGACTAAAACCTTTGCGGGAGCTGCCAGCCCCACGTGATGCAAAAGCTCAAAGGCGTGTCATCGGTTTGTTTTCATATTACTCCCAATGGATTAAAGATTTTTCAACTAAAATTAGACCTTTGTCTCACAATTTAGCTTTTCCATTATCAAATGATGCGTTGCAAGCGTTTGATTTACTGAAAAATGATATTGAGAATGCTGTAGTAGGATCAATTGATGAATCTTATCCTTTCCAAATAGAGACCGATGCATCAGAATTTGCACTTTCAGCGACATTAAATCAACAAGGACGACCAGTAGCATTCTTCTCAAGAGCACTAAATGGTTCAGAACTAAAACACTCGTCAGTAGAAAGGAAGCAGCTGCTATCGTGGAGGCCGTTCGTAGGTGGAAACATTATCTAACAGGTAAATATTTCAAACTAGTAACGGATCAGAGGTCAGTAGCTTATATGTTCAATTTGAAACGTCATGGTAAGATTAAGAACGATAAAATAATGCGGTGGAGATTGGAACTTTCTATGTATGATTTTGACATAGTATATAGAACAGGAGAAGAAAATATACCAGCGGATACCTTATCGAGAGAAGGTGAAGTCGCTTACACTGGATAAACTTTTCGAACTTCATAAAGCACTGTGTCATCCTGGAGTATCTCGCATGAGTCATTTTGTAAAAAGCCGAAATTTACCATTTTCGATAGAAGAAATTAAGCGCATGACCGAATCATGCAGAGACTGCCGAGAATGTAAACCCCAATACTATCGACCTGCACAGTCACATCTGATAAAAGCAACACAGCCGTTTGAAAGACTGAACCTAGATTTTAAAGGTCCGCTGCCTAGTACGGACAAGAAACGATATATATTGACTATCATAGATGAGTATTCTAGATTCCCATTTGCGTTCCCATGTGAAGATGTTAGCGCTCGGACTATTGTTGCTTGTCTATCAGAATTATTCTCGGTTTTCGGTATGCCTACGTACATTCATTCTGATCGAGGGTCAGGATTTATGAGTGCTGAACTAAAGAGTTTTCTCTTACAGAAGGGTATTTCAAGTAGTAGAACAACAAGTTATAATCCTGCAGGAAATGGCCAAGTAGAAAAATTCAATGGAACGTTGTGGAAAACAGTTTGCCTCGCTTTACGATCGAAAAATCTACCTATTAACCACTGGCAAGAGGTGATGCTGGATGCACTCCATTCGATTAGGTCCTTGTTGTGTACGGCTACAAACGCTACTCCTCATGAACGATTATTTTCTTTTCAACGTAAGTCAACGAGCGGGGTGTCTGTCCCTTCATGGTTAGCTACACCAGGAAAGGTTCTATTAAAACGTCAAGCGCGAAATTCAATGTTTGAACCATTAGTGGACGAAGTACATCTAATACAAGCAAACCCTCAATATGCTCACATTCGACACGCTGATGGAAGAGAGGATACCGTATCAACAAAATACTTAGCACCTCAAGGAGACTTGGGATTTCAAGACGGTACAACAACTTCTGCCCTCAATAGAAGTTCAAGACACTACAATACGTCCCACAGAAGACGCAAAGATAGACATATCTACGCCAACGGAAGAAGTGAGAGGAACAAATTCATATGAGAGTGTTGAACAGCAGTCGTCGCAATTACGACGTTCGGAAAGAAGAAGAAGAGCACCAGATCGATTAACTTATGATTAAAATAAAAAAAAACAGAACGAACCAACTAACATTTATTAAAGTCATTCTATTACCTTGAGTTAGTTAAGGACAATTATATTACATTTAGCTACATATATGTTTAGGTATTTTTTTTTTGTTGTTAGGGTGAATGAACAGAATTCATTACGAAATTTAAATATACGTAAATGTAAATAAGTATGCCCATTATTTAAGGAGTCTTTGCATTAAACCCCAGCAGTGTTGTGTAGAACCTCCTTAGGTTAGTATATAGAAGATATAATAAATATTTAATAAAACTTTTACAACACCCCCTATATTGGATAGAAGTGTCAATAACCATTATGAACATTTTTAGAAAGACAAAATTTAATTTAATCAAATTGAAGCATTCGTATGTACTATTATATGTCATGAAAAATGGCTATTCTTTTCTACACATAAACTACGTAAAAAGAAAAAAATCATCTTCTTTACTTTAAAGACTTCTTCCAAATGAATGAATTTCAAAAAAATTCCTTTTAAGACTGGACCACATACATTTGCCAATAAAATTATAACTGAGAACATAATTATTTTAAATATACGTATAGCCATAAATGCTTTTCATACTACAATGTACAATTTGAGATGTTTACGTCAGAAATTGCTTAAAAAACTACAACTATAATATGGGCATTTCTTACACAAGAACAGTGTATTGAGAACCGAACCCAAAGACTAAATTGTACCGCTCCTAAAAGATGTGTGTGACATTTTTGGCAAATTAAAGCTGTTTAGAATACATTAAACAGATCACCAATTCGTAAAACAATGGAGAAATTTTATCGTCCGAAGATTGTCAGACGGTCAAAAATTGTCCATGTTCATATTAACTTTATCGGGACACACTCTAAACAACTTCTTTTACAAAGGAATTTTGTCTTTAGTTTGATAATTTAATATAACATGAAGTACAACTTTAGTCTCTCACCAAGGTCACTGTTTTTAGACTTAACAAGTAAAAATCCCTAATGGCAAAACCTGAACGGTATAACCAAGACCGAACACAAATGCACGAGAACTTTGAGAATACTGAACAAGAAAAACCCACCAGGGATTATAGCCGAAATTCCGCGCCCCAGGGAACCTTACAAACAATAATTTTCACATATCTTTGAAGCGATTCAAAAGCCAAAACTTAAAAAAGTAAATAGAAATTAAGATCTAAAGGCTGAAAATATGGTCTTGAAGGTATATAGTCATTTTTGTAAAATTCTCCATTTTTAACGAACACGGAATTCGCCACTGTTTACCGACACACAAATCTATCATTGAACTGAGCAATTTTCTACTTTGAACGAGAACGTTGTTATTGCTGCGAATTTCGTAAAACGTGCTTTTCACATCTAGTCCATATCCGAATGATTGAGACAATACCTTAGCTGATATCCTAGAGTATCACATGGAACATTGTTAATCTTGGATCCAGGATGATGCAACTAATGCAAATGTCTCAGTCAGATTATTTTAATGATTTCATAATTTTCAGTGCTTTGTTACTTCGCTTCGTCTACTTTAAGTTCAAGCTAGAATTTAATAAAATTTTCAAATCTACGAATTTTTCTTAGCCAGAAAGATTAATCGTCGCCAATTTTTGTTGCTATTAATGTTATTGATCTTTATCTAACAAAACGTAAACATTCGCGAATCAATACAAAGACGGTCTCTTAAATAATATTCATAATTGTAAAATATGTCTAATTATGCAATCTTTTCTTCGGAAATATCGTTCAGTATTTCACTCAGACTTCAGTTACCAAATAAAGAGTTACGTTGGAGCATTACGTCAAATTGGGGCGAAAATGGCATCAGTCTGAGACCCTTGACCAAGTTTTCACAACGACACGTCACAAAATTAAATGTTCTCTTCCCTAAGTTGCGTTGGGAAAGGCCTCTAGATAATGCGAAGACGTTCCGATGGACTTCGGCTGACAAGATAGCAAGTAACTCCTTAATTGACTCTGAGGTTGACTACTGCTAAGGTTCTCGAAACGTCAGTCAACGTCAACAACAACAGTCCTTCTCAAGACTCTACTAACCAAGACGATCTACATCCACAAACATTTAACGACATTGGTTTGAACACGGGTTCAAACCAATTATAAAAATATCGTTAATAATTTAGTTTCAGTTAACATTTTTTTATTTGTTTGATTAATCATTTTTGTTGTATCGCGCGAGAACTTGCAACGTGATGAAAGAGTGAGTACTGCCGACGACGTTAAAGAAAAGCTCGACTCGTGTCCTGTATTAATTACCATTAGCATAAATAGATGAAAATAATTTAAAATTCTAACATATAGCATAGAAATACTACAGTAATAAATTGTATTTAGACCGAAAACCATGAACAGCCGACAATTTAAAGAAATATAATATAAAACAAATTCCGAAGAAGCAAGACATCTTGAGATTGCAAAATATGAATAAAAAAAACACAAGAAGTGAACTGTAAATTTTCGACTTTATTTTAAAGTCATCCTCAGACAGAATGATATTTAAAACCATACATACATATATAATTACAACGCCTGAAATAAGTAAACGGAAGTAAGCAATAGAAGTTAAATAGTGTTATAATTACAAAGGCAGAGTTGGAAAAGGTGTATTATTTCAAAAGGATGAATTGAAACTGCTGACCCGACTGGTAGAATGAGTGTATTATAAGTTAAGAAAAGAATTGTAATTCTTTGCTAACCTTTAGTTGTAATTCTTTCCTAGCCTTAAGTTGTAATTCTTTGCTAACCTTTTCTCGACACGGGACTTACATGACTCTCAGGTCAACAAAAATACAATTCCTGTCTTTTAGCAAAAATTTAAATCATTGGTTCCTTTGTCAGTCAATTCACTCTCATCTATTTCAAACTCACACAGGCTGTACTTACTACTTTTTAGGTATTCATGTCTAGGATATATTAAGGAAGTTTGAAGTTTGATGTAAACAGGACATTGACAGCTCCAAAATACTTATTCTGTACCTGCTTAGCAGTTATAGCAAATTAAGAACTTTTTATGATAGTTAAGTGATAAATTTAGAGTAGTAAATAAATGTGGCTCACAGTTTGAGACAGCCTCAATGTTTGTATTGTCTTGAACAAAAACGTCTTTATTATAAAATGGAGACTTTGTCGTGGTGACAAATCTGAAAGTAGTTCTAAAGATAGCAAATACCACAGTGAATAGTAAAAGTAAAATAATAAGTTAATGGTTCTTAAAATAACTAATTTAAGTAAAGAGCACTAACCTAACAGTTCTAAACTAAACGAAATGAAAATTTGCAATCTACTGATACTTATAATGGCAAGAAAGAGTGTACGTCATCTCCAAAAGGGGAGATGACGCTCAAAACAGGGAAAAATTAAAAACATAATCTTTTTGTCGGCAGAGGACGGGATTGGTTAACTTAATTAGACAGCCTCCATGAGGCGTAACTGAAAGAATGAACGGCATTTCTACGTCTTTTATTTACTTAAGAAGTTTATTTATTTATTTATTAAATTTTATTTAAAAACTCCTTTTATTTAATTATTCCTTGTTTTGAATCTCACTCATTCAGGAGAGTGAAGAAGCTATCTTTCCTTTGACTAAAAATACTAACAGGTTTATTTTATCAATTTTCTAAAATGTTTACTAGGTATCATGCGCATAAGATCATATGGTACTTTTTTTAATTCATTTCAAGCATAGCATTTTC